CCGAACTCCGAACCTGAAACCTGAACCTGAACCTGAAACCCGAACCTGAACCCGAACCCGAAACCTGAAACCCGAAACCCGAAACCCGAAACCTGAACCTCTATGCCCCTTGAGGAGTGATGGACTCAGAACATGAAATGAAACTTGGATGTCAGTAATATCAGTTTTCAGATGTTTGCTCTAGCAAAATCTACATGGGGTAAAAGTTCTAATAAGTGTATTGCTGGTTGCGGATGAGTTGGCGCCAGCCGCCTCGGCAACTCATTTTTGTTGACACCCCTCTAATTGCTGCCCACAACGTCGTTGGACCAAATGAATAATATATTTGTACTCGCCTCAACTGGGGCTTCCTGAAATCTAACTTTTAGTGCCACATTCCAAAATTTTGCTCACACCCATCCGGCCAGACATTCCCCTGTGTCCGGATAAAAATATTGAGTACCCATGCTTCTTATTAGGTTGCATGAGATCATCTATGGTACCAGTAAGGTTAGCCGTGACTGGCCCATGTTGCTCAGACTCCACTGGAATCGAACAATCCTGTTTAATCCTTGACCACAAACTTGAAAATGGGCAAGAACCAACCAAAGAATAATAGAGTTGAGGATGCTGACCATATCCCTACCTCTACACGTCCCAGACGTGGCATTTTGGCACTAGTCTACCTACCAAACCAAACGGCACATCCAACACGCAGCACCACCAGGAAGCATACCCAAGAGGCTGTTGGTAGCATAGAGAGCACATTAGAGTCCTTTAATCTACCGTAAGTCACTGCTAGAGGCGCTGATTTGTGGTTAACTGCTGGAACAAGGCGGGTCACTTTGAAAGTCCAGAGTGCCTCCGCAGGGGCAAAAAAGTCAAATATAGAGGATAATCATCAAGTTGGACCACCAAAGAATGAAGATATCCACCCAAAGTCTGCATTTCCAGGAGTATCTGCAAACAAGCAAACCTGCATCAAACCTTTAACAGCAGAGCATGACTGGAACAAAGTCGAAAGATCAATATCAGGAGATATACTTAATAGTGACGCAGAAAGTGCAGTACTTCCAGCATTAAACCTTGAAGATTCAGAGGAAGTGGAAGAACTATCGTCTGGCTCTTACTCCAACAATGAGGTGGGGAGCGATGCACCAGATGATCACTATGCAACTGGAAGCGAGTCAGATCTTGATGCAATCCGAGAGAGGTTTGCCAAATGCCGTCTAGTGGAGACCAACGTCAATGGGGTAGTGGTCATGCATGCTAGCCCTATGCCCAAGGCCACAGTGGGGAAGCGAAAGGGAAAGAAGGAAGGGAATCCAGTTGCGAAGCAGGCTGATGAGGATAAATCTGGTGAGCTTCACATCGCATGCATCAAGCTGGACTAAGAGTAGACCCTGGGCTTCAAAATTTGCCCCTATGTTGACGTTGAGGGCACAGAGCAGAGAGCAAGCGCCTGGAGCTTTGATGAATTTGGTGATGTCTGCCAGAATGTTGCAGATGTGCTTTGCTGTGGGGTGCAGGGGCTCACCCTCAGCTACAAGATTGAGGTTGATAAGCAGCAAAAGAAATGGCATAAATTAGATGACAAGATGGATTGGGAAGATATTGTCACCTTTGGGACAAAGTATCGTCTTGAACAGGCTCAAAAGAAAAGAGATGTTGATGTATGGTGTGTCTCAATCAAGGATGCCAGCATCAGTAGTGCTGCAAAGGGAAAGGCAAAGGTATATATTTCCATTTTGAGCACAATATAGCATTGCTGACGTGTCAAAAGGCCGCTGGTTCTGCAAAGGCAACTGTTGTACCTGAGCGAGCAACAACTCCAGCTGGTCCACCACTTCATCAAGTGCCAAATGACAGTCTAAAATGCGATAAGCATGGAGGAGCTCGCTGTTGGATCCCTGGTCTCAGCGAGGCCAGCCTTCTCCAGAAATATAGCCTCCAGCAACCCGTCCATATTCATATCACCGATTCTGAAGTTCGAAAATGGGTCTCTGAAATGGTCAGCTGCTTTTGTATCAATTCTGTGTCTGACATCATTGCAGAATGCTGGCAATGCATCGAGAAATGGTCCAGGTAGTATGCTTGGCCAGGAGATTATTAAGCGATTTGCCAGCACTACCCAGGAGAAAATCTTCCTGAAGAAGCAGGAGAGCATGCTCTCACACCCCCATATCCCAGGCACTCCATCCAAGTTTGATTTCAAGCTCCCCACGGCGCCTACCCCTTTTCCTGACCGCACATTTACAAATATCAAGGACAACAGCACCATGGAATCATCTTCACATTTGAAAAAGCTCAAGCTTTACTTCACCTCTCTCACACCATGGCTCAAGGCTTGAAATACCCGAAAGGTTGCAGACGATCCACAGGATTATGAGGAGTTCATCAATTGCTTCACTCAAAATGGTATCTACAGCACAGAAGACATCATTTCTCTTGGAACTCTTGAAGTTGTAGAGCTGACAGGCATCCAGAGTGCAGTTGCCTCATGCCTCATTCGCTGGGCTACCAATGATTCCAAGAGTAGCATTCACTCTGATGACTAAATATGATCATATAATCTTGTATATAGTTCTATATCATGCAATCCCTGCTTTATTAAACCATCCATGTACCATGCAATGTGTTGGCCAGAAGGCCATGTCATAGAGAACCCAGAGAGCACGGTTTGGGTTCTTGTGATCATTCCATGCTCTTGAGATTTCGTCTGAGTGCCGCTTTACCCACGCCTTCATTGCAGAGAAGCAAAGCTCAATTGGGTTTCAGTCGGGCAAGTAGGGTGGAAGGAACTCAATACAAATGCCACTGTAGATGTTAAGTCGCCATATATGAGATAAGAATGTACAGACCATGCTAAAACTATCTCAATCATCTCTGGATCTTTATGTATCCGGCAGTTGTCCATAATGAGAACCAAGTTTGGTGGTTGTGTTACTGGATCATAAGGATTCATGAAGGGGAGTAATTCATATATGAACTCATTGAAAAGCTCTGTGTTGAATGCATTCTTGACAATCTTGACATGGAGAATACCCAAAAGTGAGAGTGCAGGTAGCACCGAGTAGCTAAGGAGTGTCAACTAGGCCATAAAGAAAGGTAATTCTCACCTCTTTCCTCGTAGAAAGAATACCTTCTTAAGGGCTCTCTCTCCCTCAAATGCCCATGCTTGCTTTCGGATTGAATTTTGACGATCAAACCGAGATTCATCAATATATACTTGTGTACGTGGATGATATTGTGATATGCGCATCGTATAGTCTGCTCGTTTCCTAGGGTCACGTTCTTTTGCCACTTTCATGATCTGTTGGTTCAGATGAGAAGGCAATTTTGGCGGAGAATAGACCAACCATCTTCAAAGTGAGCCCTGCGTCTCTCAGATTCCTTGAAAGAGTGGGAAGGGTGACCTCTATCCCCATTTGGGTCTGCAATTCAACCCGTAGCTTGTCCAAGTAGATGTCACTTCTCCGCTCAATTACAGAGATTAGGAACTATTCTAGCATTAGCAGCATAATCAAAACAAGCGAGAATAATCTCACCATCATTGCCTCATCAGTGATCTTCCTAGGAGTGCCACCAGTGCGTGGCCAAGACTCAAATGCAGAACCCAGGTAATCATGCTCCAGCTTTACAATTCGCTGCACAGAGCGCAGCAATACACCAAGATATCTTGATATATCTTGATTGGTAACCTCTCCATGCATCTGAAGGATGGAAAGACGGACATTGTCCATGATTCGACCGCCACAGGGCATTGGTCGGATCCAAGGGGCTGAAATGCGGGCTCAAGAGCTTGCTTGAGAGGAGTTACGAGTAGAAACATGTCCTAGAATAGAGAATATATATTGCAAATTGCTTCAAACTTGTATGGTTTGTAGTAATGCGGCCTCAAAGTTGGTGTAGGAAAAAAAATACTGATGTTGCATCCAAACTTGCACCGTCGGAAAGCCCCAGATCATGCGAGTTTAAATATGTAATTCATTACGCCCCACAACGACATGGGCAGACAGTGGTAGCGGTTCAACATAGCGCTTATTTGCCGGGCCGGCCGGCGCCAACTCATCTGCAACCAGCAATATCATCTGGAATTCGGACGGATTTGCATTCAAGGTTTGTGATTTGGAACACATTGTGAATTGGTTACAATTGGGTATGTGGGTCAGAAAATTTTGCAAAATCAATGACCATGACCTGTCCATTCTGTAGACCTAGGGCGATTTTATCTTGGGATTTGGTGGAGCACCCCAACCTAAACTCATCAGGGATCCGATATCTACGGTATGGACAACAAACAGACCACAGCTCCTGACTGGCGTAGTCAACAGCTACTGTGGAATGCTCATGGCTGGGCATGACACTTGGACATGGAGATGAGAGCGACTGAAGGCAATCGTGGGAGACATTGAGTACTGTTCCATTGTCCACATGTAAGAAGTGTCCACCTTGGGAGAAATATAAAAGCCTGGGAGCATAATTGAGCTCATAAAGAGGTTCCAAACTGGGTGAGGTGGTGATATCCCACAGGTGTACAGTGCAATCCCCAGATCCAGACGCAAGATGGCGCCCATCTGGCGAGAAGGCCAGACATGAGACCTCCCTGGTATGTCCCTCAAGTGTCCCAAGGCTTGCACCAGTGGTCCCATCCCACAGGTGTACAGTGCCATCCCCAGATCCAGATGCGAGACGCCACCCACCTGGCGAGAAGGCCAGACACAAGACATAATCTGTATGTCCCTTGAGCGTCCCAAGGCTTGCACCGGTGGTCCCATCCCACAGGCATACAGTGCGATCCCAAGATCCAGATGCAAGACGGCGCCCATCTGGCGAGAAGGCCAGACATAAGACCCCCTCGGTATGTCCCTCGAGCATCCCAAGCCTTGTACCAGTGGTCCCATCCCACAGGCATACAGTGCAATCCTCAGATCCAGATGCGAGACAGCGCCCATCTGGCGAGAAGGCTAGACATAAGACCCCCTTGGTATGTCCCTTGAGCGTCCCAAGGCTCGCACCGGTGGTCCCATCCCACAGGCATACAGTGCGATCCTCAGATCCAGATGCAAGATGGCGCCCATCTGGTGAAAAGGCCAGACATAAGACCCCCTCGGTATGTCCCTTGAGCGTCCCAAGGCTTGCACCGGTGGTCCCATCCCACAGGCATACAGTGCGATCCCAAGATCCAGACGCAAGATGGTGCCCATCTGGCGAGAAGGCCAGACATTGGACAGAATGGGTATGTCCCTTGAGCGTCCCAAGGCTTGCACCGGTGGTCCCATCCCACAGGCATACAGTGCCATCCCAAGATCCAGATGCGAGACGGCACCCGTCTGGCGAGAAGGCCAGACATTGGACCCCCCGGGTATGTCCCTTGAGCGTCCCAAGGCTTGCACCGGTGGTCCCATCCCACAGGCGTACAGTGCCATCCCAAGATCCAGATGCAAGATGGCGCCCATCTGGCAAGAAGGCCAGACATTGGACAGAATGGGTATGTCCCTTGAGCGTCCCAAGGCTTACACCGGTGGTCCCATCCCACAGGTGTACAGTGCGATCCTCAGATCCAGACGTGAGATGGCGCCCGTCTGGCGAGAAAGCCAGACATTGGACAGAATGGGTATGTCCCTCGAGCGTCCCAAGGCTTGCACCAGTGGTCCCATCCCACAGGCGTACAGTGCGATCCCCAGATCCAGATGCAAGACGGCACCCGTCTGTTGAGAAGGCCAGACATTGGACAGAATGGGTATGTCCCTTGAGCGTCCCAAGGCTTGCACCGGTGGTCCCATCCCACAGGCGTACAGTGCCATCCCTAGATCCAGATGCAAGACGGCGCCCATCTGGCGAGAAGGCCAGACATTGGACCTCCTGGATATGTCCAGTCAAAGTCTGGTGTGAGGGCCAATGCACTGATGGTCCTCCAATGATTCTTGGTAGTCGATCTGAAAACTTGCTCTTGTATATTGTCCACAGTTGTGACTTTTGAGGGAGGAATAGTAGCCCTGAAGAGTAGATATCCAGCGCACTCTTCTCTAGTTTTTTTTGATGCCTCTGGACAAGTCTAACTGTATCATGGCATACCTATTGTCATTGCGGTCAATACACATATCGTATGTAGCATTAGCTCACCTCGACTTCATCACCCAACCCTTGGTATTCACAACTTCGCCGAATCTCCTCGAAATTTCGAATAAGATGCAAGCGACCCATCAAGCTTAACAGCTCTACAAGGTAGAAAATTCGACTTTCTAAAAACCTCCGCAGCATCTGGGCCACCTGTTTCTCTGTTACGGCGGTAGACACATGATAGCCCCAGTACTTTGCCGCATAAGGTAGTGCCGGACAACTTGTCCATAATCGTTCCAGACGTTTATCCAGATCCATGACGTCTGCATTCTTTGGATAAGGTTCGTTTGGCAGGGAAATGCCACAAATGTCCTCCTTCAGATCCTCCTGAAGCACTTTGAGGACAGAAATGGTCACGTCTGAATGCATTGCTGTTGATTCGAATGGCATATCCACATTGTGTGGACTGAGAAGGTATTCTTGAAACGTTGGATGCAGAAACTCGACGACATGCTCGGCACGAAGTATGCTGCGCATAGACATGATCATAGGCTCCAAATCTCCCGGGTTCGTACCCATGAGTTCAGAGAGTGCCGGTATAGAAACTGGCTCGAAAAGGACAGAAATGGTTGCAATAATTTTTTTACCTTTTCCAGAGAGGTCTCCAGAGAGAGGCGACGAAGAATCCCGGCATAAAGGCGGTTTATGTCCCCGCCTTCTCCTCGTGTGATAAGGCGAGCGAGTGTACGAGTACGATCATCTGGCCCCTCGACTCGATCAAGCTCTAGCCGGGCCGTAGCGACCCATATAAAAAGCCCGTTAGCTTTGTCGACAAGCTGTTGACGCTCCGAGCGTGTAAGGAGCCCAGTAAAGTATTTCTCGACGTAAGCCTTGATATCATCAACATTTGACGGATTATTGCTTCCTTGAAGCTTGTAGTGCATATTCCTAACAATAGCCTTTCCCTGAAGTAACATCATTATATCTGGCTCTGGGCGGCTAGTGAGAAGGATCCGGAGGTTTGAAAGACTCGAGAGTTGTTCAACAATGAGATGGAGTAGATCGCCTCATATTCGCCCTACACTCGTCGACCGCATCGATGACCAAAACGACACGTTTAGACGTTAGGCGTATGGAGGCTCCGACAAGTTTTGAGAACTGGTGAAATAAAGGTCGCGTATTAAGCTGCTTGTCTTCGAGGAGTGCATTTTCTACATAGGTTCGAATAGTTTGTCCTTGGAGCCGAGATCATTACCCAGTGTCGTGCAGACAATGTCCGTCTCTGATGTCGACCGGGCATTCTTCGAGAAGAAGAAACGAGCAATGACTATATGATCGCTAGTATCCCACTCATGACAGAGCGTATACGCGACAGTGGATTTACCCGTCCCACCGATGTCGCAAAGCCAAAAGATAGGCTTTTCGGAATCTTCGCCAGTAGCCCAGTTGCGGATCTCTTGGAGAACTGAAGTTCGCGTCCCAGGCAAGCAGAGCTGGTGCTGAGTACCCATGGGTCGGGCCTGCTCAGGCCCAAGGCTGGCCATCTTCCATGCTTTACGACGCTAAGTTACGGCCCAGGTGGAAGAAAGACATGCATACCTTCCTCTTGAAGGACAATCATGGATCTTGATGTCGCTTCCTGAGAAAACGTCGAGTCAGCCGGTGCCGCAGTTTGCGAATTGCCTACGGAAAAGATTTTCGAGAGCTGGGCAATCTCTTCCTTGATCGATGCAATAATCTCTGGATCAATGCGTGCGTCTGCAATCTTTCCGAGGATACTACGCAAGCTGACGCTGCCTCGTTGGGCGAGCATGTCTTTGAGCCTGTCCCGAATGACTTTGAGGCCACTGTGAAGTGGGACTCGGTGTCAGAAGGCACATCAGAGGGCACGATGAATAAGTTTGAAACTCACGCTACGTATTGCTGTTGCGCGTGTTGGAATTCGGCAATCGCTGCTGGCCCACGTGTCTCGGAAGGCAAAGTCCCAATGCTTTCATCCAAGATTCCAATGTGGGCAGAGAGCCTCTGGTGAACTTCATTGAGGCTCGACGTGTTTTCATCAACGGCCTTTGGCATCGAGTAATCAGCACGCGCCAACGGAGGAGATTTGAGCGCGAAACCAGATCTCACCTTTGTCGTTTCCAGGAAGAGAATACCGAGCTCGCAAACTGCCTTCATAGGTCCAAGGAAAGAGGTCGCCTCGGTCACCGCCTTTGCAACCTTGAGGCCTTCGAGAAGGTTGTTGCGAGTGCGATCATATGCGAGATCTGGATCACGAGCGTATGGGAGTGTCTTTTTGGGATTTTCCCTTCTTCTTGAGCGTGGCAAATGTTCTCAGCGACATGGGGAGGAGATGGGGTCCAAGTGGAATTGGCGCCCATCGATCTTAACCGGCCATCAGACATCCACCTTGCACAGCCGATAGAGGCCATGAAGGGAAATATAAATCCAGCAATGCGGGTGTGCCGTACGCCGTACCAAAGGTCAGAAGATTCAGACAAGTAGAGCGTCCAACAAATATCGTCTACATCAAGTCGCCTATCATTACACCATTTCGCTGTAGACAGAATACACACTTCGCTTCAACACCGAGGAGGTCAGTGTAGCAACTGGATCAAGGGCCAATGTAACTTGGTCCTCACCACAATCATCAGCGGGATCCCGCCAACCGACCGCGCAGTCCACCCTATACGGAGATGCGATCCACGTGCTCATGGAGACAGAAGAGTTGGTCAAAGTCTGGTGCCGGTTGCTTGCTGCATTGTCTGAGCGTGCGTATACTTGTCTGGGTCGTGGTTTGTGACTCGATTGCACCCACACGTTCGGTTAGTGATATATCAACTATGTGGACTGTGTACTCCTGCTCGCGCCTGTCAGACAAACCACCACGCGATTCCTACAGATGACTGAGACTGGCAATAAGAGAATGCTCTCAGACCGACAAGCGCATCGACAAACTCTCAGAAGTCACGCCTATTCCAGCAAGTACTCTTCCCGCCTCCCCCAACCGCCCTCCTGATGACATCAGCAACGCTACTTACGACAAACCATTCGAAGACTTCGTCATCTCGGAGAAAGAAGTGCACAACACCATCCTCCGACTCCCTACCTACAAGGCCCCAGCCCCGTCGGGAGTTATCAATGTCACCATCAAAGCGCTCAGCAAGCAACTCGTCCCAATGGTCACCAACATCATCAACGCAAGCTTGCAACTGGGCCACTTCCCATCAGGCTGGAAGCGTTCCATGTCGATACCAGGACGCGTGAGGCGTGAGGTAAGGCCAGTAAGGCCCAGCCATTGCGTCACGTGTTTAGAGGAACTTTGAGGACTGGACATGATGCAGTGAAGTTAGAAAGAGTACCTCTTCAAAGTTGACGGCGGGATGGGTCGTCGTCTTTTAACAAGAGCCGCCTGGCCTGATCCATGCCATTTGGAGTGCGACACAGTGGCGAGCAAATGCGCGGTATTCAAGTCTAAAGACACGCTCATGCGAGTCCTGTGAACAGACGTCTAAACTGGATCGAATGAATACAAGTTGATGCACAAACGCCGACTGGATTTCCGAATCTGTTTAATTGCCATGAAGCGCAGACCCAATGAGGACGAGTCCGATGCGATTGTCAAGTGTATTGTTACCACTCCCAGAAGTTGCGAATGCGAAATCAAATCATGGCGGCGGCACCTGCGCCGAAACTTGGTCCCGCCCACGACGCCGCTGCATCTTTGCCGCCGCCGAGCATCACCACAACCGCCAAAAATGTATCCCAGACGCGCTTCGACCACTCTTCCTTGACGTGACGCACAGCCTTTGGTTTTGAAGACAGGGCGCACAAGTCGAGTGCGTGTTGCAAGCGTTTGGACGGCTTCAGCTCGCTCATAATTCTTTTTTCTTCTTAATCCAGGCTCATTCAAATCGCGGTAGATTGCACGCATTGACGCAATCATCGACGTCTAATGTATAAGGCGCGAGCACACGCGCAAGCCAATGGAATAGCAATGACATTCAACTATTTTCCGACTAACCCTGGGGCCCCCCACGGAAGGAGGGGTCGCGGATAGGCGCCTTTGGTGTGATATGAACCATCGATGACAGTCTGCAGCCTCGACAGCCGAGGGATCAACCAGAAGTCGGATAGCGTTCAAATTTTGGCCTGTCCAGTCGTCGATCCAAAGTCATCCCCGAGCGCACGAGGAAGCCGCAACGAGGTACGTACTTTGGAAAGCATTCATGCGAATAAATAGAGCTAATACGGGTTTTTTTAAACTCATCTAGTGGCAAAAACGACAACGATACAAAACCAGCACAAATCTTTGAGCAAAAGCGGGAGACGTTTTCCTGGGAGGTGGTCTAGTCCCGGCCTGACGTGAGGAGCACGACGCCATCACGCAAGGTCACGCTCAAGCGACGCCAGTCTCTTATCAACAACGGCCGTCTTGTCGATTTCTCCCATCTCTATCATCACCCTCGTTTATCCCATGACCCGTTACCCAGCGCCAAGGCGTTTAGCGCAACAAGGTATGCCAAAAGACCACATAGATATTTCACCGTACTAACTAGTCTGTTAGGAATTAGATCCAGCGCCGTTGTGGTTGACTGCGCCCTCACCCGCCGGCCTTCAGAGGATCGTCAAGGTGTTCACCAATCCACGCCTCTCCGGCAACGCGAATTCAAAGACACTAACCTTCGTTGCCCAATTCAACCATGCATGACCGCACCCGCCGCATCTATGCATCCCTACCGAACGTCGTCATTTTGGACGGACGATGCGAGAACTGCTAGCACCTAGAGCGCATGGACGATCATATACAATGAAGGTTAAGTCTCATTGTTGATTTTAGACGGGCCACTGACCGTCTTTGTAGCGTACAGCAGTGACGTCCAACAGGCGCTTATTTGGGCCCCGCAGCTGCGTCAAAGCAACCTCGAACAATTCTTCTCGATTGTCTCTGGGGGGTAGTGCACACTGGCCGATGCAACACGCTCCCGGACCGTCGAAACCGGAAGTACCCATTTTCGACGGTCGGCGTTATTGATTCGACCTGTGGACGACGCTTGTGCCCCCTACTCGCTCATACCTACGATGGCGACGCACGACGAACGCTCATCTGCGCTCTACAACCGATCTCGACAATCCTCGACTACCGGCGGCTCCCGCGGCGCCAGAATCAACACGAACCAACTACGTGGGCATACAAGTGGCTACGCGGCTGTTTGCTCGACATGCCCCAATTTGCGACAACGACTACAGCCGATAGTGACGCCATGGACACCTTTCTAGGCTCGCCACGAGTGTCTGGGGGAAAAAGTAAACGTTTGAAATCTGGTCAATTGACGGTGGAAACACTCGAACTTTTTTTAGAATAACCTTAACTGCAGTCGAAATGCATGTACACATGGTAGCCTGAATGAATCCAACGTCGTTTCCCACCTTGCCCGTGGCGATTTGCCCAAAGTTTTATACAAAATTAGAGCAGTTTTGAGCAGTTTCTGTCCAGAAATTCTCAAGTTGACCGGTCTAGTCTCGCACCAGCCCTGGGCAAGTCTGTTACATCGCGTAAACCCCGAACTACTTCTCATATCGTTAGTCATAGTCCTTGCAACGATTCTCACGGCCCGTGTGGCTTCTCATGTCTGTTACACGATCCTCTGACCGTTGGTTTGTCACTCATTACCACTCTCTTAGGTTGTCAACTGCCGTCGAGCTAACTGTCGACACCGACGAAACCGTCGTCGACTTTGCCACTGCCGACAAGGGGACTGAGAGTCATCGCGATCAGACCTTCCATGACAGCGAGAAGGCAACCGAGAACTATTCCGACGGTCACGAGAAGGAGAAGAGTTTGGGTAGATGCTGATTGCGTTTACAGGCCGTTCTACAAGCGTAGACGGGCCCGGGAGAGAGTGAATTGTCGATGAGGCAAACCAGTGTGAAACGAGGGCCGTGTCGCTGTCAAAGGAGCAAGCGAAGACGTTGCTTGTCTTGACAAGAGCGCATGTGACGAGTCCTTGAAGTATACTAGGAGTATCATGGACGGACATGCTCGACGGATTCCCTCACGCCATAAGAGCTGCTCCGCTGCGACGTCCATATAGCGTATGTGTCCAATTTGTGGGTTTTCCGGCTGGCTAACTTGTATTGTCTGCTCTAGGCGTACTCTTGTGGGGGATGCCGACAGGCGAGGCAGGCGTGGGCGTGAGTGGCCTTGGTGTAAGGTTTTGAGGATTTCTCCTCGTCACACCCGTCATAGCCGCACCCGTGACACTCGTTAACCCTTCCACTTCACATTCCTCACCCTTCTCTTCATAGCCTCTATTGCATATACCCTCATAGCGACGGCCTTAGCACCTGCTTAGCTTCCCATCGCTCTTTCCTCGTTCCAATGTTTATCCTTGCTATATAAGACTCTATGTACATGTCTTAACTAGCAGAGACTTTCCGGTACCCTCCCATGTCGATACCCTCCGTCAATAAACGGGTTTAGACTGGTGAACCCGCTCGCCCCAGCCGAGTGATGAGGAACGTTCTAGGTTTGCTTAGAACCATTTAACGCATAACAATATTTTTCTCACCAGTGTTCGCCTCTTCCCCTCCATCGGAGTCGCGTACTCTTCGCAAAAGAAGACACTACTGATCCTTTCGCTTGCTTCGACGTATAGACTCTGTACAGTTGCGAGATCTGAAGAATGCGCCCGGATATCCTTAAGGATGGTATCTGTTGTTTTCATATATAGTGACGCCAATCGGTTGACTGTTTCAACGAGGGTTGCTTCCATGCCGGAATGTGGAGTTCCAAAGAATAATACGCCATGAGTAGATACTAGAATGTCTCGAAGATTGCCCTGTGATGCCAAACTCTGATTATGACATATAACGGGAGTCTACGAGAGGGTGAGCATGGAACCATATTGGGTCCCTTTAAACGAACCCATTTGACGAGTATTCCACCCAAGTTGTGGGCAATGAAGATGATGGGACGCTAAAAATGGCTCAGCCGGGACAACAAAACTAGGAACATTCACGCACGCGTGGGTAGCCTGTACGCTACCGTATCAGAGCCTTTGCCAATCCATCCGCATGCTGCCGAATTGTCTGCGTCGATACGCATTCTTGACTACGAGTATCTGCATCGTATTCATACATGAGGATACGGGCGTTGGGCAAATCCGAGGGCAGGAGATCGCACAGCCAAAGGATTCCATCTTCCGTTGTCCAAGTTTCTTCTCTGTGACCATCTAAACCGTGGACAGCGACGATACTGAAGCCGACGAGCTTAGCGCCTATGAGGATGGAGAGTGGCATGTGCTTACTCGACAGGATCGATACCTGGTGCCAATTCCAGGAATCCAAGATCATCAAGCTTTGATCTGGACATGGAGCGCTCTAGCGTGTCAAGATATTCACTCGCGAGGTTGATTTTTGGGTGATCGTTATTTGGCCGTCCTAGTACGGATGAAAGGTCGTATCCAAAGGTCTTATGGATGCGCTAGAAAGTCGTCTGTTGAACTAACGTCGCCTTGGGTTGGGTCACGCCGATAAGGTCAGGATCAGGCCTGGACAAGGCGACTGGAGTGGCGTTTAGGTAATGGATGAGGATCGTCCAATAGGCGTTCGTTGCCTTTCATTCTCTCCATCTTGCCTGCTACGAGTCTTGTCATTGCAGCCGAGAACACCTACCAATAAATGCTGCTTCTAATCGATCACTTCAGCCTTCTTGTAATGGATCAAATAACCGGCGATGCTTCTAATCCAAACAAGGCGGTAAAAGTCCAACGGTGCAACGAACAGGACCCGGAGTACGTACGATACCGGCTCCCTCGTAAGAGAACTGAGTGTATTTCGATGCAGGAGTATATTACCATGATCTGCTAAGGATTTATTACAGCCAGGCCCAGGGCGGGTTTACTCGACGGGAAATCGACTAAAGTATCGAGGTTGAGGCATGCCCGGTTAAGCGAGTGAACTGGAGGTGAGATAAACGCGTCACAAGATGAGACTTCTAACCACTTGAGCATCTCATTCCTCCTCAACGTTCGTACTTCAATAGCTGACCATTTGAGAGGACGAAGCTGTACTTACGAATCAGTTACCAGGCTGGGATGTGAAAGAATAACGTACCAATTTTCTTCACTTTGACTATAGGACTTCTGGTTGCTGCATATGAACGAGCTCGAGATTAGCAACAGCAATTCCGTCGGCAAACAGAATTCTTCTTCACCAGAAACTTACCCATTCGCAGATTCGATGAAATAAATGTCTGAAGTTTGTCCAATCTGATCCCTAGAGGCCTCATATCGATGTGTGTGGGACGGTGACATGCTTGGCCCCACGAGAATGGCGTCGAAACTCGTGATCGAGACTTTATTGATGTTTTATGGATGATAATGGAACCTGAGTCCCTCTGAACAAAGCCAAACACAGGCTAAACCTCAGCGACTTGAGCTGCAACAAGTATGGGCTCTGCAAATTAACTCGACGATAGTAAATGTCGAGTCTAAGCTGGTCCTAACTTGTCGTAGAGTCGTTCATCTATTGGCCTGACGTCGACTGGTGGATGTGCGGGTTCAAGAGTCCATTTGTGCCCAGCCTCAATACATATAACATTGGACTCGACGTGATGGACTCTGTCCAAGTTGGCCACTATCAATATTAATCAACTTGGATGCAGTGCATCTGTTGTGCTCTGCTAATGGCCGTCCCGGACATCTCCAATCCACGTCGAGCATTATGGACGAGCCACGAATGGGCACGATGATAACAGCTGCCAACGATATATAGCCAACTACGCAGTCTCTTTCATGCTTTGCAGCACAATCCCATCAAGGCCATCCAAGCGGAACTTAGCCCCTGTATCCTCCAACTGAGCACACCGTCGGCTTGTCCACATGTCACAGGGGTTGGATGCCTTGTGACGCAGCCAAATGCTGGTTTTTCTTCCAGTTACCTATCCCCATTTTCAGCGTCCGCTTTCCCTCTGCTTTCGACTCGGAATCGGGCCCGTCAACCACAATCGTCGGTTCCCAACCTCAGCTGCTTCATCTTCTCCTCTCTCAAGACGTGAAGAATTGTGGTATTCACGCCCAGTGACCCTCATAGTCGAATGGGATCGCGTCTCCACGATTCCTTCGTGCTAATTTAAATGTCTAGAACAGATTCCAAGTGCTGTTTGCCGTCATTTCCACAAATCCTATGCAGCCAATAGTCAGTTGACGCGTTCTACGCGTCGTACAGATCAACCTGACATTCGCCTGAAGACTGCGGCGACGCCTAGCTGCAAACTACAGTCCAAGACGCCGGCAATGGAAGTGCCTGCCGAGTGCCGACGTAGGATCCTTAGTCATTACGACGAAACTTCTCCGTATTCGAGGGGGTTAACCAAACTTGAACCGCAACCTCGACATATGCCGAATCAGAAAGCGCCTGTTTTGATAAGCGAACAGTTGGGAATGCCACACTTGCCAACAATCACCCTGTCGGGATTGTCAAAATAGGCAGTAAACGCGTCACAAATCGCTCGCTCACTGTGGAATATAGCTGGACAAGGGGATGTGGCTAAAACACTGAGAATATGTCTTTTTGATACCCTTTTCAAACATGAGAGAGGGTAAAGACAGGCGCTTCAATACGCTATTCGCACTGCGCTCCTGATGCCTAGCAAGCAGAAGCGCGAAGATGCCCTAATTGGTAGATCCCGGTACTTCCATCGTCTGGAATTGGGCGGAAAACTGATTATGGTGTAGCTTATACCGTGAATGCCACCCTATGCACTCTGAGCCGTCCACTCTCATATGCAGTGAGAGCCCATACCACAGTGTTTAGTCCACTCCTTCATCGGCATGCGTAATAGTAGTCGTTCTTCCAGTGGCAGACTACCGTTTACGGGCTAATCGACGCTCAACCCTCTCGGGTTAGCTTTTAATGGTCTAGCATGGTTTTATACTCGCGCTACCGCCACTTATTCCCACCAGCAATTCAAATTGGGATTATAGGGCTCTAACTGAATCGCTCAGCTGCAGGCCCTATCCTGCACTTGTTCGTCTTCGGCCATAGAGGCGCCCAGCCGGTGGAACTTGGACTGTTCCACATTGCACGCCCGTGCTACTTTGCGTCTTGCGCAGTTGATTATCCGCATCAACCTTGTGCCATCTGCGCGTGGAATGACCGACCTGCGAAGAAAGCTTGTTGTCGTAGGGGACGGCGCCTGTGGTATGTTACCCTTCGCCTTCGTATATGTACAGATGACTTAAATGACTGTTTTTACGACAGGCAAGACGTCTTTAGTCATTGTCCATCACCAAGGCGTCTTTCCAGAGGTCCGTCCGCTCCGCAAACATTATTTCGCAAAGGCTTATAGGATTACCAAAATTTCTACAGCATTTTGTCCCGACGAGGTTCGAAAGCTATATCGCTGACATCGAAGTCGACGGCAGGCGCCTCGAACTCGATATCTGGGACACAGCAGGCTCAGAGGACTATGACCATCTACGACCACTATCTTACCCGTATTCGCACGTAGTCCTCATCTGCTTCTCCATCGGCTCACCCGACTCACTTGACAACGTCGAAGAGAAATGGGTCCCTGAGGTCCTTCATTTCTGCTCCGAACCCAAGGTTCCTTATTTGATCATTGGATGTAAAAAGGACTTGCGTGGTGATTCTCGGACGCTGGAAACGTTGCAGCGCTATAAGCTTGAACCAGTTACACCTGAACAGGGGCAGACGGTCGCGGATAGGGTGGGCGCGACGATGTACTTGGAGTGTTCCGCCAAGACGGGCGAGGGAGTGACGGAAGTGTTTGAGCATGCGCTGCGAGCGGCGCTCTTGAAGCCTAGCAAGAAAAAGCGCGGGGGGTGCTTTAGTTTGTAGAATTTGGTACGTCCGTCGCTCAAACTTATCGCTGATATTGATCAAGCTTTAGAATGATTCGATTATACTATGAATTTCATTATCTCATCTCGACCAGTCATGGACTGGCCCTTATGTGCGTTCAACACCGACCTAAACGTGCATCTCAATCACATCAACAGGGCTGACTCACCATGGCGTTTACAATGCAGAGAAAGGAACTGCGAGAACTGTTGAAGGTTTACCCTTTGACTCTTAGCGCTCACTAAATAGACTTAGCCACTAGTACGAGGCGAGTTTGTGTTCTCCCTTGGTGTTATACACGGTCCGAGGCAACCGAAGAATACGAACTCGTTCCTCGAGCCGTTTTTCGACAAGTGTCGCATTGGAGCGATTGGTATCCTCACCTATCACTCGCTACGATGTGCTGTCTGCATGCTCCGCATGTATCCCATCTGCTCCCATCACGATATCCTCGGTGGCTGCAAACTACATGGCGGCAAGTCGCCCGGCGCGATTCATCCTTGCATCAAGTGTGCCATCACTGCAATACAAAACAAGAAGGTCAAGTATTCGACCTATTATCTCCCTCACCGGAGGCCAAATGACAACACCTCGCGCACCGACCGTCTGCTCGCCCGACCAAAGACCAAGGCTCACTGGGAGTCGGTCTGGCAAATGCTGACGTATTCAAACGACAAGGATGGGAGGAGGAGGTCAAGAACCAACACGGACTTGCCTTTATCCCGATCCTTGGGCTCCTCCCTTCCATTGACGTCCCGCGCTCCTTTCCCAATGGCCTCATTCACGAACTCAGCAATGCGGCACTCACGATGGAATCACACTAGAAGGGAACGTTCAAAACACTTGATAATCGACATGATAAGTACATCATATCGCCGGAGAGTTGGATCAAGATTGGTCAGGTTACGGCAAAACTCGCCCAAACGACGCCGTAAAGTATTTTAGGGCTATGCCTGATGTCTGGACGGCGTCGCACAAGTTCACCGCCGAATCGTGGCTCTTTTGGCTCACCTGGGTCGCGCCTTGCGTCCTTAAAGGCCATCTACCGACCGAAAACTACAACCGTCACCCGATTTTCAGTAAAATAATCAAGCGGGTGACGTCTCGTGAGCTTACCGAGGCCGACGTGGACGAGCTGGACGTATGGACAAGGCAATGGCATGCGGAATATGAACGGTATGTCTTTATTTCGATTCTTAGCAGCTACTGATATATCTATACTATATTATCGCTACAAGTACAGCCGTCTATCGGCATGTCCACTCATCATACACCACCTCATCCACATGGCCGGCGACACACGCGCTTGCGGACCGTTGGCACGCGTCTGGGAATTCGTGACCGAGCGCATCATGGGACTGGTTGCACGTAGCGTCACCAGTCGACGATTCCCATTCTCTCAGCTGGCCAACACCCTCCGATACACGGAGCAGATGCGGATGATTGCGATTCGCTAACTCAAGAAGCGTGTGAAGAGGTGGGGGAAGTTTTGGGTGAAGGGAGAGCAGGCTATGACGCGATCTGTATATGGCATGGAGAGCGTCTTGGAGGATTCGAGTCGTGACTCATCATTTGTTCGGGTAAGCACGACTATCTTATATAAATCATACTAAAATGCATCATCTAGCTCGAATTATATCCGGACGAGAACGCATCCGATATCGACGCACCTGACGTGCCGTTTCATCAAGTCTTCTATGGCCAGCTCCTCTACATCGTCAAGGTGACCCTCAAGAAGTAGAATAGCATTGGTAACCGCAAGGAGCATACTGCTATATTGGGGTTTGTTCGCTTTTGCAAGAATACCGTTGGTGACGCTGCTCAAGAACCTGTTTTTTACAAGAAAATGGACATCACCCAAGCGGTAAACATGGAGACGATCCATTGCAGTGTTGTGAGAGTTTGGTGTGGCAAGGAATGGGGTATAGTTGACACAAGTTATGGATGTGAGCGGACGATGTTCTTTGACGAGGATGAACCTGACTCTGATGGTGATTAGAATCATGCTTTTATTTGTTATTTAGCAGCGAAATACCTTCTAGTCTGCATTTGCTACCCAAACTTAACTGTTTGTGCTGAGCCAGAACAAGGCTGGTCAAAATGACCGGGACCAGCCAATGAACATTGACCTGCCCTGGTCAACTTCACTGAGGTCGAGCAAAAATTGAATCGGGCCGGTTGGCTTGACCAGGGTGCCCGGTTGCAACAACCAGTTCTGGTCAAGTCGACCGGTCACTGTGGCTTCAGTGCTACGCCGCCCTATATCTACGCCTTGGGTGTAGTTGGCAGTATATGGGTGACACTGAAGCACAATCCACACTTCTTATGGAACCGTCGATTCCTTGTCAATTTTGACATAATGAAAAAGTAAAGTTGACTATTATTCAAGTCTACTCGTCACCTTTCACATGCTCAAAGACCCAGAGGGCTTCCGGGGTGAAGTGTGTTGGAACAGGTTTATTCTCATCATCAGCGGGTTCCCTGTTAAGTTTCACCTGTGCGGGAATGAGTTATGATGTTAATGCAGAAGTGAATGGCGTACAGGTTCCTTCTTGTCCGAGCTGCAAAGTTCCCAGTGGCCCTTTCTTCCGGGTTCGTAGATGCTAAGGAAGAATGAGTAATGCATGATGATCGTAAAGAGTATACCATACGCGTAGAGGATACGAGGATCTGATCCGATAAACACTGGCTGGAGGAACCAACCAACTGGTTGAGCGGATTTATTCTCGACACTGATGTAAAAGCGCTTGGAGACTTCGGTGACAGGGCCTCCAACGACGGCAGGGGCAGTCGCTTCAATGGCCTGCAGAGTGTGCGAGTTGTCGGAGTTCAGAGTGATCTGCCACTAGAATGGCGTTAGAGAGTAAGCAGATCTAGGTGTGGTAAGAAACATACAACGAGTTCCTCAGACTTGGAGTTTCCCTTGGCTCCCAAAGCGCCTTCGTCGTCACGAATAGCACCAAACTTGACGTTTCTGATCCTGTACTTGCCAGAGTTGACGATTGGGATAAGAGCCATTGTATGATATGTAACTGAGAGTAGGACGTCTGAGAGACACGACAGAGAAAAGGTGCACTCAGCGCTCTCTTTATAGAAAAGGCGAGTCCCTATCCAGACTAGATCGTATTTGGCATATGGCATCCTCCACTCTCGACTTTGGGGCCCACATAGAGTATGTTGTATTCCTCGTGGGCCCACAGGCGCCCTGCTAGACGCGCTGCCAGAGGTGATCTGGGCGGGTTGCGAGTTGGTACAGTGAAAGAATCCGGGAGACAATTTTGCACAATTGATACAAAAAATCAATAATTTTGATGAAATAGGCCATAGTGAGCATACTCGATGCCGCTTGCAGCTGCTGGCGATTCGCGATGGCGGCTGGCAAGGGTCCTACCCTGTTCTGAACGGACAGACGCAAGCTCCGTAAAGTCTGAATGGACTGAGGGATGATTCGTTGGCCAAGAACCGTCCTCCATCCACATGCCTCCTTCAGTCGCTTAGATTCAGGGGATTACATGCCAGCCATTGTAAATTAGGAATATACTTACCTATGCATGAATACATTACCGAGGTGCCCAGGCTGCCAGAATCGACCGCGGCTCCGACTTGGTCCGTTGACAACTGAATTCCTCGTTTGCGGGGATGGCCGTTTCTCGATGTAGAATCTCGATGTAAGTCGTGGAATACGCTGGCAAAGGTTGCTTTTCTAGGTGATTGGGATTCTTGGGCGTGACATCTTTGCCACATTTCTTTTGGCTGTGAAGTGCATCTCCTAACGTACTATGGATTGCGAGTGGCGTCGGAGTCGTCCATGGTGTACCACTAATGACCTTATAGGAGTATATCTCATTTTTTCGAGCGTCTCTTTCCTATGACAGAACGGTACAGCTGTGGGATGTAGAGACGGGGTAGGTACTGGAGTTATTATATAGGGGCTGCTGCCAATATGCCTTTGAGTGAAGCTATGGCTTTTATACGTTCTTTGAGAGGCGTCATAATGTATTAGATAGACTATTCAAGATATTTGGGCATCATTTCAAGGCTGCAGGTGTCCCCTTAGAAGCGGGCCCAGGTTCGGCCCCAGCCCGAGCAAAGCATGAGGCTGAGGGACGAGACATATCATAAAGTATCGAAATGAAATTTAAATGCTCATCAACTGTCAAATTAAGTACAATGTTATCTGTCATCGCCACATAAGGGGTAGGGTCAAAATGATAAATATCGCAGCGAGGGCGTATGAGTGTGAGTCTGGGGGAAAGAATTAGTGACAAAATAGAGGCGAAAACATGACTAGTGACTTCTATATTCATTCTGGAGGTTCAGGAGAATCTGGTGGGAGTGCCATAAGAGCGGGCACAGGCCCATCAGCGGCTCGTATTCGCATTCTCATATCTTGATACAATTTGCAGCGTTCGTACTTTCATAACTCGCCACTTTCGCTTACTCCATTGTCCGTCCCAGCCTCCTTGTTCGCCGTCGACTGATTTCCCCCAAACCATTGCAACTCGACTCGTCTGCTTGTACCTGCCCTTCTGTCGCACGCCTGATTAGGCCTGTTTGGGTCACTGATCAGGCTTGAAGTCTGTATTCGCTCGTGCAAAGTACGATAGACTGATTGCTCTCATATGAATATATCAGAATGAGGAGGGTTCGGCAGGCTTCCCAAGAGTCTGCAGCCCATGACCCCATAATAAGAAAGAAATATCTTCTTATTGAATATTATCACCAAATTCTCCTTGGTTGTAACCCATGGCTCGCAACGCGTCGTGCTCCTGACACCATCCCGATTGAGAAGCTGAAACCAGCTTTCCTGCGCCTGGAGCAAGGTCACGAAACTCTGAGCGGAAATCACGTTCCAGGATGGCAATACCTCGAATCAATACAAAGAGACCACCTGGCATTCAACTCGGGGGTCATGCCTTGCATCGATACTCAGACCGGAAAGCACGGTCTACGTCGCGCAAAATCTCAGTTTTGCAATAGCTCCCGAAATCATTGATACCTGAGAGATTGTTCCACATGACTGAATTTCGGCGGGATGATTGCGGGAGGCGGCTATTGAAAGATGGCGGCTCTGGCTAGACTTCATCCCAGAGCCAAGAAGGCTCATTGAATGGCCGAAGTGTTGTCATGCTGCTATATCCTTGATCGTGCCTGTCGGGGCCGCTTCTCAAACTCAGTAGCCAGCACGTCGTCGCCTGACCCCAGTTCATATTCTCGGTAGGTAATGAGCGCGTGTCAATCGCCGAATTTCATCTATGGTCTTGGCATCTGTGCTCATTCAATCCTGAGACTTGGACTATGCACCACGATGATTCCTCGGAAGATGGGTTCTTAGCTAGTCGATGCATCATGAGCACTGTTGATTCTCCTCAGACCAGCGTTTCCGTCTTTCAAGGCCTCTGATGTGTGCGTATTCGTGTGAGAATTTTGCTGCTAGCACCAAAATTGCTCGAGGATGCACAAACTCGTCCACGAGATGATGAAGCGCACTTAATCCCACTCGAGAATTCAACAAGGTGTCACCCAAGAGAGAGAGCCACTATGTTTTCACCTTTTACGGTCCTCCTAACCAACGTGTATGGACGAGTGGCGCCAAATATGGCTCGGATCAATACTTACGGTACTGATTTCATATAATCCCAAGCATTATAGGCATTTTTGCCGGGGAGAGCCCGGGTTGGCTGGGCATGCGGGGAATCCCCAACGTATTTGACACTGGAAAGGTATAAAGGGAGCCTTGGTTCGTCGTGAATGCCATTATCATACCCAGCTCGTCTCTATGATTGCTTGGAAGTCGCTCCTTCTTCTTGGCCTTGCCACCGTTGGCGTCTTTGCGGCAGACGCAGTTGAAAAGCGCGAGGAGAAGCCGACCCTCGTAGCTCGCGCCGGTACTCCCAGCTCTACGGGGTATCACAACGGATATTACTACTCCTTCTGGACGGACGGTGCCGGAACTGTCTATTACACCAACGGTAACGGTGGTTCATATAGTGTCACCTGGTCTGGCAATGGAAACTGGGTCGGCGGGAAGGGATGGAACCCAGGGTCTGCTCGGTGAGAGCTACCTCAATGCGTTTCTCCTCTGGTTTGCTAATTGTCGAATAAAGTAACATTGCCTACACGGCGGACTATCGTCCCAACGGCAACAGCTACTTGGCCGTCTATGGCTGGACGACGAACCCACTCATCGAATACTATGTTGTCGAAAACTTTGGCACGTATGACCCGTCGAGTGCTGCATCCCGAAAGGGTACGGTCTACTCGGACGGTGGAACCTACAATCTCCTCACCACTCAACGGGTCAACCAACCTTCCATCTTGGGTACGCAAACCTTTTGGCAGTTCTGGTCTGTTCGTCAATCGCATCGTTCAAGTGGAAACGTCAACATGGCGAACCACTTCAACGCCTGGAGGTCCGTCGGGATGAACCTCGGCACCCACAACTATCAGATTGTCGCCACGGAGGGCTACTTTAGCAGCGGTAGCGCGACCGTGACTGTTAGCGAAGGTAGTGGGCAGCAGACCTCCCAGCAACAGTCGACCCGGCCGCAGTCGTCTCAGCAGCAGTCGAGTAGCCAGAACAACGGAGGAACTGTGAGTGAAAAGAGAATTCACTGAAATATGCTGACCGTTGAATCTAGTGCTCTGCCATCTGGGGACAATGTGGCGGTCAGGGATGGAATGGGCCGACGTGCTGCCAGAGTGGAACGACTTGCAAGTATTCGAATCCTTGGTACTCTCAGTGTCTCTGAAGGCGCCGTGGTACTCCGTAAATCTGTTTCCACTCGCCCAGTTTCTCAAAGTGTAAAGAGATACGATCAATCAAAGTTTGTTAGACTATAGGATATGTTTCCACTTTCTGAGAGCTTTATGAACTTTAGGTTCACCCAAATGTGCCACGTATTCGACCATCACTATGCTCCTTTGTCGAAACTCGATGGATTTTTCGACAGGTCATCGAGTGAGCGCGTACTCCTCAGGTCGAATCAAGCCAGGGATGAAAGCCATGTACAAGAAGAGTATCGATACTTTCACAAAGGTCGTTCTGTTACCCGATAAGCACTTTGTCAATGATAATCTGGATCGTTGCTCAACCATCCTTCCCTTATCGAATATGAATCGGGGCGATGATGTATAGCGGATTGCCGCTCGGGTTTGGGGAACTCAAGTGGTCCTTCTTACTTCTTAACGTGATTAAGGATCATCCCTAAGGAACGGCCTCTATGCATATCTACTCGTCGCCAATCACATGCTCGAATATCCAGAGGGCCTCTGGAGTAAAATGCGATGGAACCGGCTGATTTTCATCGTCTGTCGGGTCCCTGTTGAGTTTTACCTAGTAACGGTGAATAAAATCATCAGATATACAGAAAACTCATTTACCGGCTCTTTCTTATCCGAGCTACTGAGCTCCCAGTGACCTTTCATGTCGGGCTCATAGATACTAGAAAGCAGGTTGAGGATCTGAGAGGAAGGATGACCAAGACCACGTACGCGTAGAGGATACGAGTGTCAGAGCCGATGAGTACTGGCTGGAGGTGCCATTTGCTTGAGACAGCGGCGTCTTCAATACTGACGTAAAATCGTTTGGACACCTCGCTGATGGCGCCTCCAGGACCTGCTGAGATTGCTGGATCCACTGGTGTGAGAGTATAGGACTTGTCCGAGTTTAGGGAAACATTCCACTGAGAATGCTTGTGAGTCATCTGGACCTTTCCGGGCAGAGGTAAACGTACAACAAGCTCCTCCGACTTCGAGTTACCCTTGGCTCCGAGGGCACCCTCATCGTCACGGATAGGACCATACTTGACGTTTTTGATCCTATATTTTCCAGAGTTGATGATTGGGACGAGAGCCATCGTAATCGCGTCGGGGGTGAGGGCGTTGGATTATGACGATTGCGCGGGACACCGTGTCACTTTATAAAACACAGTAGCATCCCATATCCGTAATCAACTGCCTATCCCATCGTAATCGCGGTCTGTATACGATCGCCTCGTGCTTTCCTCGTTTCTCTCAATCTCGAGGCCGCATTCATGAATCTTGATACAATATGAGGATAATGCATTCAGCGATCAGTCGGTAAAATTACCTGGAGACCCGTGAGCGGCTTCCCCCCGCTGCTACGGCGTAGTATTACTGCCTTTTATGACTATTAGAACGCTTGCGAATTGTAGCGGCTGAGGTGCTTTTTGTGTGGGCGGATTAAGATTGGCAGCTACCCATAAGGGTCGTACCCTGGCAGATGCACACATGTCCACGAACCGGGTTTTGAATAAGTGATGACGCACATCAGATCGCATCTGAGCTTGCATATCGGATGGCAGAGATCGACGGCCGGGTATCCAGAGGTGGAATCCACATAAAAGATGCGCATCTCCAAGCCGAGAGACGAGGCCGCCCGGGTGGTGGCTGGTCAAGTTGAGTGGGCGAATAATACTTCATCGATCCAGATCTGATATGTCGGACATTGGTATTATCATTTCTCATCGAGCGATAGCTCCACTAAACCTGCCGTTTTTATTCCTGATTCTAAGTGCATTCTACGTCATTTTGCGAGTTATCAAATCATTGAAGGAGTGCCATCTTCCCTGTTTGCGGTGTTTGAGATTATAGATCTCACGCGAGTTGATTCCGCGTCAGCAGCTTGAGCCCGAAATAAATAAAGTTACTTCAAGTAACAAACCCCCATGTCGTCCATGTGCTTGGTTACCAAGACTCATGAGTCCGAACAATCCTCGTTGGATTCATCGTGTACTCGTTCGTCTGCGCGAGGAAAGCTACACTTTGGTTACTATTACATGTTCTACTATACTCGAACCACGTCTGCTCCTTTGCTTCTATTAGATGGCAGCCGTCGTCGGTGGAGGACCTTCCTTTGTCATTGGTGGCGGATACTTTGAGCGTTCGAGGTCTCTGTCGTCGTGGTGTCGGTGCCTCCAGAGATAGAGAGTCATGTCGATAAGCCAGAAGAGGAGCAATGGGAAGGCGATTAGACCGAGGAAGACGACGAGGGCCGTCGAAGTTGAGTACCAGCGGAATCGCCAGGCATTGTAGTAATGTTGATGTCTGAGAATACATGAGCTGAGGGCAGAGAGTAGCGTGAGGAAACATACTCCGTCCAACCAAATGCTGCGAGGAAGAGAAGTGTCATAATAGTGAGGATGATGAGCTTCGCTCGTCTGGAAATCCTCGGGCTAGCCATAGGTTAACCAAGAGAAAACATCGAGCCGGAGAATGCTCACATGCACAACCACAGGCTAAAGATTAGCGCAGCGAGGGAGACGAGCATGTCATAGAGATAGACATTGCGGAGAGGGCCAAAGAATAGTCGTGCGCCTGGGCGGAAGCGCGCAAAGAGGGCAGCACTGAGGCCGAGGGTGATGAGACTCATGGTGGCTACCCATGCTCCATAAATGGGCCCCGTAATGTCGGAGTACCTGGTCATATCATTGCGTCGAGCGGCCGTGCCATCGCCTTGGGAAACAGGGGCGCTCATGGTTGCACAAAAGGTCGAAACTGGGGGAGCGAATGTCAGGTCGAGGTTGCAGCGTTCATGAGGTTATAAGACAAATCTGCTCACCTGGGATCCTCCGTCATCGTCGACGACATTGGTATTCTCGCTGACCGCATCCAAGAACAAGGGCTCCAAACAGACCCCATTCCTTACCATCCTGACGAAGAAGTTGTATCATATCTGCTTTGTAAAATGAATTGCCGATTCGAGCCAGATTGGAAAAAGGTCTAGGCGTTGGTATTGCACACGTTGGTTGACGCGGAAGGTGCGTAATTTTTTTAAAAACTTGGTTTGCGCTGAAAACCCCTCCAATCGTCATCAGATTCCAGCTCGGTGAAGAGTCCGGCAGGATTTCTCGGCATAGTAGATTTCTATATTCTCTCGGGGGTGTTCAAACCGGTTGTTTGTACGCCCATTTGCAAGACGCTTGGCGGATCAACGCACTCCCGTCGTCAGTGTCAGATCCAACGTCATTCTTTGAAAAGTTTTGTCCCCTTTTATGCCGCTTCGTCGTCCTCCGATCACGCCATGGTGGCCAAGATGTGCGCCGCTGTCGGGGCGGAGATCAAGTTCGACCGTCGTTTACGCCTTGGACCTAACCATTGCCGTGGGCCGAGCGCACAATGCGCGATAAGCTCAGAGATGCCTCAGAGGGAGACTATTTTGCCCATCTTATTATCAGCTAGCCCAAGAATATAAGCAATGTCGGCAGAGAGCAACCTCGGTAAACGTGGAATAAGCAAAACAACGTTCCAAGTAAACAAGGGGCTTCTTCTAAACTTATTCGGACATTCTAAAAGGCGTATAGTGCGTATTGTCTCGCTTAAGCCGATACCATGGCCTTGGACGAAAAGTTGGACAGCTGAATCCGATACTTCAGACTTTGGTAATCGAATTCAGATTGATTCCAGAGAAAATAAACTTGAGTGGTCTGGTTGTTTGCGCCGACTGCGCCTTGACTCGCACGCGCATTGACCACGGACAATGTACGACCCATTCTTGGACAGCTTCAACGAGTCTCAAACTCTGCAACCACCAATGGCTCCGAGGAGATCACCATCACCGGCCTTGCTCGACAAACAACTCGACGAACATGCAGTAAACTCGCCACCACCGACGACAACGACATCTACAAACATATCTCCCGGTGTAAATGAACTATTTGATCCTTTGAGTGCTGCCTCGCATTCCATCCAACCCTCGCAGGTTCCGCAGGCGGTGGCGTCAAGCCCAGCCGCGCAAGCTGACCGATCAAAGCGAAGACCAACACTTTTAGCCATTTCTACTCCGTCTAATCCTCCTCCTATGATATCCTCAGACCCATTGGCCGATCTCCTTGGCCAAAATGACCCGAATGATCCTCCATCCCGCCCAAAGCCACCACGTCGTTTCTCAACAACACCTCTATTTCAACCGCACTTACCATCTCATGCGAACAAGCCGAACGCGACCACGGTGTCGCCATATACTTCCCAACCTCCATCGACTGTACGACCGACAAACCATGGCCGTACTATATCCACAGGATCAGACGACTTTGGGACCTTTGTCGCTGTTCCCGCCTCGTCGGACCCTCTATCCTCTTCCACTCCCCTTTCAACCATCCCATCCGCGTCGACCCTCTCATTCAACGAAACCGCGCCGCTAAAGCCTACACCAATTCGCAATGATTTCACTATCGCAGCACAACAACGCCATGAAGAGAATGCATCTCGAATCTTGGGAGAATTCGCCCGGAGCGAATCGACCAATGGCGACTTTTTAGGATGGCTCGACGACTTGGAGTCTACAGGTGGTTCTCAACAACAGGTAAAGGAACAGGAGAAACATCTCAAACGAGAGGAGGGTCCTCCAAGTCCACCCGCCACACCGACAGAAGGCCCTCCGCCAAAAATGAAGACGCCTCGCCGTCACGTAGCCTCGCCAGAGCAAGCGACACCGTCATCCGACTCGAACGGGGTTGGCTCGTACTTTGCCGGTACCATTCCTCGTCGAATAACCAGCTTCTTAACCAGCAACGTGGTCCCGGCTGTTCAAGCAGGTGGCCTAACTCAGGTGCCAAACGCACCAGACGAAGGCTTAGAGGAATCGGGTGACCCCCGCGCAATATTCGCCCTACCGACCAGCTCCAGTGTCGCTCGTCTTTCTTCCATCCCTCACTCCAACTTTCCGGGGAGCAATCCACCATCCGCAAAAGCGATTCCAGATGACTTTGTCCAGCACAAGACGCCGTTTGCGTCGACCAAATACCTCCCACCTTCTGGCGCTCCTGGCTACGGAGGCGAAAGTGGCTGGGATACGGGTGGATTCGCTGCAGATTGGGAGGAGAGTGAGCGACCATTTGCCATTGCTGCTGCAAAGGCGGGTCCACAGATTCTAAAACTACCCCGGATACTGAACCTCGTCGGTCGGAAAGAGGAAACTGCAGGCGTCCTTACCCACGCTCTAGGTGATGTAGTATGTCCTGGTACCTATTTATCCCGGGCGCCTCTGACCAACGCTAGCTGCGACTACGGCTGCCGGCACTTTCCCGTTTATGCACAACTTGGACTCTACTTTACTCGCTAGATCAGCATGGTATATCTCTTCACACCTTTTACCACCTATCAAGCGTCAGTGCTAGTTCCTTGAACAAGGTATGTCGTCTACTGGTACAACCCTCTCCATTCACTCCCAGCGCAGGTCAGCGGCGGCCGTAAGGGTGCCCTTCTAATCATTCGGGACTCGCTCGATGGAGTCTTCGGCGCATGGGTCGCAGAAGGCATTCGCTTGAATCACACTGGGGAAGGTCACTTTGGAGGAGGAGACTCGTGGGTCATTCTGTCATCTCTACCTGTACAATCTGACACGTTCTGCGTTATGCTAGGTTTCTCTGGCGAACAAAGAGTCACATTCCAGATCCAGCAGCCGAGAAGCCAGAGGACCCATCTCCAATCGTTGATTTTTACCAGTGGACAGCTAGAAATGATTATGTGGCCTTTTGTGACCCGACTTTCATGTCTATCGGTGGAGGGTGAGTGCGACCTGCTGCGTGCGGCCTCTTTCCTTGCTAACCCGCCGAATGCGGCCTGTGTTTGCAGAGACGACGGCAAGACGGGACTGTTCATCTCTTCCAGCTTATTGGAAGGCTCAAGCGCGCGCTGCATCACGTTCAACAACGATATCCTTTGCGCCGAGGAGACAGACGAGGCGGCGGTGGAGATGCGTATAGAGGGTCGGACAGCCAAATTTGAGATTATCGGGTTGGAAGTTTGGGGCCTCGTAGCAAGTTGAAACGTCCTCATTCACCATCTGCAACCTCGCTCCGAATGGCCGGCCCTCGACGCGAAGAAAACTAGCAACTGGTCGCCCGCACGCGCACATTTACTCATGTCAGGGTAGTCTTGTGTATTATTTTACTGATTATCTCTTCATTCTGGACATTTTCTGCAGCTCGTGGATGGTCAAGGCGAACGACGTATTGTCAACAGTTCCTCCTGATGAACGCAGCCTCGAGGCTGTTGACAGTTGGTGTCTAGAGGTGCCTCATTTGCATTGTGAACCCAGTATCATTTCTCGTCATCGGTAACACTCCTTATCCGGGCTAAGCTGCCCGCCTCGCTCGTGCGGGTCTTCGTTCTCTTGCGGGTGGAATCGGTCCTAGGCGCTCATTGATTGACGTCTATACCAATTGAAATGTCTCAGGAGTAGCCAATTTGAGGCAAGTCGTCTCCCGTATGACGCTTTACCAGTCCACCATTTCGCTCCACCGCGACGATCCTCCATGTCAGCTGTCAACGACAGGTCATCATAACACTGACACTGACACCATGATGCTCATCCCAAGCGCTATGTCTCCTATTTTCCCCTGTGATTGGTCGATGCACTTCCGTGAAAGGTCGCTGGGCTCAGCTGGGTCGTTTTCGCTGCTACTAAGCATAATTGATGCACCTCTCTTCAATTCCAGCCTATCGTGTATAAAAAACCTTGTAGGAAAGGCATGTGGTAAGCCACCTCCACAGAGCGTCGCCATATTGGGCACCTATCGACCTCTACGGTTCAACCAATCATGCCTAACGCTCGTGAAAGGCTGCAGATGCTCATTGAACAGAACCCAATGAGAGTGCAACGCGTAAACGATCATGTTACCTCTTCCGGACCACCGTATGACACGACTTGGACGCATCGAATCGTCATTAAATTTGATAATGAAGAAACGGACTTTACTGGTCAAGGACCCAGCAAGGGGCTTGCAAAGGAGGATGCATCAGCAAAGGCCGTCGACGCGCTCGAATGGTGGTTGGCATGAGATGATGAAAATGAACCTTGCTCAAAAGGTGAGGAATTATTACCTAGCCGCTTACAAGGTGCTGACAAGCGTGCATTGCACAAATCCAGTGGCACTCTCGCAGCAGCACTCAGCCACCCACACGTACACACAAAAAGCGTCTCTTTCCATCTTTCGATTTCTTCAAAATCCTAATTCTGTCCTCTCCAGCGCAACTCGAGCTGTTGAGAATGTAGTTCCTTACAATTGTCCCGCCTTTTCTAGTCTCAATTTCGCTAAAATGTCGCCTCTGGCTCCAAAAGGCTATACAGGCTGCTTTTCGTAGATCTTGTCTAGCTATCTGTCTCTTTTATGCCCTCATGCGATTTAATGATACCGTATTTCCCATATAGCGACCTCATAAGTCCGCGACTTGCATTTGGTTAGCGTCTGCGCAAGTGCGAATACCAACTCAGCTCCTATCTCAGGTTTTATTGCTCCGACTGTTGAGCAAGTCCTTCGGGCGAAACGATTTAGCATGTCCTTTGGGCGAAACGATTCATACCCTTTGCGTCCGCAGATCGACATTTCGGTAATTGCGAAAGGTATTAGTATCTAAATATAAGACTATACGAGGCGCTAACCGTGTTGCGACGCAATAACGCAGACTACTAGCCGCCATACCCAAATAAAGACGCGGGCGCATGCGTCTGTGACTACCCTTCGCATTCAAGTATGTAGAATAAGCGAATACACGAACCAAAGCGCCGAGAAAGTCGATGTCTCAGATAGCAAAAAGGGCCGGATGGGCAGCCAACTCCTCTGATCAAAATAGTAGCGCCGGTCGGGGGTGATTATAACGAATTCAAATCAGATCCGGCGTTAACTAAGATCAGGTTTTTAGTACCTTGGAGCCTCTCGGTACCGACTAGTAAACAGCAGGCGAGTGCGTCCGCCGAAAATTTCCGTTGGTTCGCTGCGGCTCTCCAGGCTCGCGTAGAGTTGAGACCGTGCTGAAAGCGCTCAAACCAGAAAAATCAAACCGGCAAACCGCAGCAGAGTGTGCCAGACGCGCCGACTCTGGCAAGTTGACCGACGATCATCCCAGCATCGTATCTATAATGATGAAGGCTGGAATTCATCCTAGCTGTCTTCACTGTACGAGTAAAAGGTGCTAAATCTCATCACCACCTGGTTGAGATTGATCCGTGTTGTCAACCAAGGCACGGCCGGTCGTCTTCCCTCATCCTAACCGGATGAAGACACCCTCTCATTGCAAGGTATAAAGGACACTGCTGAGTACCGCGAATCAACAGCATCACGACCCTCACCTAGCGTCCAGCGGCTCATTACTCGACCACTAAAACTCACCCCGGATACCCATACATATCAACAATGGCAAACAACCGCCAGAATCTCCACTTACTTGCGGAGAAGCACCACGTCGAGGTCGTGCCTGCCTATGAACAGTTTGGAGCGGGATACGCTCAACAGTGGACCTGTACTCTTAACCTCAGGAGACCCGGGGATACATCATATACGTCAGTTCCCGGCGACATGGCAAGCTCGAAGGATCTCGCTAAAGAGAGCGCAGCCAAAGCTGCCATGGCGGTCCTTTGGGCCTGGTTCTCCCAGCGTTAACCACCGTTCCCAATGTTGGAACATCACTCATGGACTTTATATGATTCGAATCATCTCCACGGACTCTTTGTATAGGTCTAGCTTCTTGCATTGTACTGGATGGTTAGCGTCTAGAGCGATAGAATCTGTACTAAAACTCGGAGGTTCGTTCCGATTTCTCGAGATACATGATATGATTAAACCCTTGGCCACGAGTCACTGTAAACGAGCTATGTGAGCACCAGTTGGATTCCCCAATCTTTGCGCACCTTTAGAGGGTTCGCGCTGGGTCCCGTAAATCGCCCGAGAGATACTCGTGGAGAGTACGACAAGTCTTTTCGAAGAGCTCATCTATGGGAAACGTCTCAGCTGGTAGCACCAAAAGGCGTGCCACTGGCAGTCCGCAGGGAGCTGTATCCTTGTCCTGAGAGTCCTCCGATGACAGATTGCTCTCGTCAGCCGGCACTGGATCACCATCGCTGACGTTGCCTGCGATGAAAATGTGTTTATGTGCCTTGAGGTACGCTGGCCAGACAATGTCGTCCCAGTATCCAGGCGGGTCCTGCCAGAGGGAGCCCTCTGACGAGAATTGGACTGGCATTAGCGACGACATTCAGCGACGCAAAAGCTAGAGCGCTCTCTACTCACCTGCAGTGTGATAACCGAAACGTTCATTTCGTCGCTTCTTCAACGTATCATAGGTGACCCGAAGGAATATTCGTACGTCGAGTTCCTTTACGACATCCTGTCCACGATTAGAGTGACTATTTTCTTCAACTGTGACTTACAGGATGCCAGTAGAGCAGAAACCCGTCGACGAGTGCCCAAATGATTTCCGTCTGCTCTTCCTCTGCCGCCTTTTGCTGGATTTGGGTAAAGTAGGCCCGCCAGTGATTGAGAGATTGCTCTAGCACAGGAAGAAGCGTCTATAAAACGGTCAGCTTTGAGCCTTAGAGAAGCGAGAAAACATGCTTGCTTGTTGAGCCCATCGTGGCTCTTGTGATCGTCACCTAGTTTGCCCTCTCGACGAACACGGCGCAAAAAGTTTACCATTCGCGGCCACTCGATAGCGCCCTCCGGATCGTCCCAGTCTTGTACATTCAGAGTCGGATGAACGGGTACGAGTTGTTCTGGCTGTACCCTAGCTCAGATAGACATTCCGATGGGCGAAATTAGGCCTTACTGGAGCAAAGTCCTGAATAATATATCGTCAGAGAGTAGAATTTATCAAAATGCCGACGACTTACATCTTGATGGATGATAAAACTGCCGGGTAGTACGGATCTGAGGTGCTTTGCCAAAGTGGTCTTGCCAGAGCAAGACGCTCCACTGTAAAAGGCACAAAGATGTGACGAGACGCATGCCAAGTATGTCAAAGCGTCCACGAATAGATATCAGGTCGAGCGGTTAGATGGTTTCGAGTGTTCGGAGTAAAGAAACGAACCCCACGCCAACGAAAATGACTCTCTTCTTAAGAGATCCGTTTACTTGTTCCGTATCGCTCATGGAGATTCCTCCGACACCCAGGATTTGGTCAGTTCTTTTCTTGATGTGGCCGGGATGAGTTCGATAGATTGATCAATGTCCTTTTACTAGTTTCCGATTGTCCGATAAATACGCCAATGTCCCTATGAACGTGCGAGAAAGCACCGAAAGAAAAAGCTGGATGAAGAGGTCGGGTCCGACTGACAAAAACACTAGACTTTTTGTGGGACAACAATGACCGCGTATATATAATGCTCCAACTCTAAATAACAACAAAATCTCGTCTATGCTGCAAACTTGACGCCCTTTTCAATGTTCTTCTGGAGTTCAGGCAGGGCAGCCTTGACGAGCTCTTGCTCTTCAGCAGAGAGCTCACCAAGTCCGTGAATCTTGGCGACACCATTGGGCTATCAAAAGAGTCAGCAATCCTTTTCGGGGAATCTCACGTATGAAGACGTACTCCGAGTTCAATGTTACTCGAGAAGAACTCGACGCCTTCCTTTTCAAAGAGCGGGCTCTTGACAAAGCTGGGTACGACGATGCCCTTTTCACCCTTCAAAGCGCGGAGGAGGCTGTTGGTAAACTTGGCGGCAGCAAACGCCATGCTGAGGGTAGCGCTTCCTGCACCATCCTTTGCCTTGACGACTTCATCACCACCATATTGAATCCTGTTGACGAGCTTTTCGTACGTCTCCTTGTTTGCGATGACGCTCTTGGCCTGTGGTGTTTGACTGAGGAGGGGGACAATGGTGACGCCCGAGTGGCCACCGACGACGGTGACGTGCGTATCCTTGGGGTCTGTTCCAGCAAGGGACGAGAGGAAGCGAGAGGCGCGGACGACGTCGAGCGTGGTGACACCAAACAGACGAGCTGGGTCAAAGGTGCCTGCCTTTTCGAGAACGGAAGCAACAATGGGGACGGTGCTGTTGACTGGATTCGAAATGACGAGGATGTGGGCCTTTGGAGCCGTCTTGCTGACCGCCGCGGCGAGGTCACGGACGATGGAAGCGTTGGTCTAGTTGACAAAGTCAGGAAAAGTAGTTGTCGAGAGTAGTATACATACATTGAAGAGGTCATCACGGGTCATCTAGAATACGAACAAAAAAAGTCAGCCATACGTCGAGCGAATGACAAAGTCGATGAGAAGTATCACATGGGATCAAGGGTCCAGGCGTTACTGCACATGAATATGCGCATAGAACAATGATAGAATGCATGAAGAAACCGCGGTACGTACGCCAGGCTAACATAAACAAAAGTTGGTCAGTCTCGTATGAAATCCAGAGAGAAGCCAGTCACCTTTCTCGGGACACCAGCGGGGATAACAACAACTTCGACTCCCTTGAGCGCATCTTCAAGCTTGTCGGCCGGATACCCGTTGACCTGGTCGGAAACGTCGGTTAGCACGCCGCTCGTTCATCGACGACAAACGCGTAGAAAAAGAAGAGAAAACGGACCTCTCCAGCAACATCAACATGGGAAATGTCTGCAGCGACGCCTGGAGCGCCTCGGATATCGTACAGCGAAAGACTCGACACGAGTGGGTCCATCTTGAGCAAAAGCGAGAGTGGTTGGCCAATTCCACCTGGATTATAGCGTAAAAAGTGAGCATCCGAGTTCTTAAACCCTAGTCAGGACGAGTACGCACCGCCAGCGCCGAGGACGGCGACTTTTGTCTGGCGAGGTGCGCTAGTGGAGAATGCACGGCGGGGGATAGCACGGAGAGCAGTTCGTGCAAGCATTTTGAGATTGTTTTATAAAGGTCGACGAAACGCGAATGACGTGGTAATGGTCAAAAGGTCGAATCGGTAACAAAACCCCCCAACAAGAACATTTCAAAAAGAAGGTAGGATTCGAATACTCCGTTTGATGATAGCTTATGAACAAGAAGAGAACCCGAAAAAAAGACAAGAGTCCAATACATACATTAACACATCGAGTCCGTGCAAAATGTCCGTATCATGGCGCGAAACCTCCATAAGCTGTATTCATATTCTCTTCTGCATGCATCCTCCTCGGGGCATCTTGCTCTTGTCTTGTCTGTGATGATGAGCGCTCCTGACTGGAACGAGAGCCAGGAACCTGTGGGGGCATTGCGCCAGGTGGGAGAGAACCACCAGGGCTTGGTTGACTACCATAACTTGCCGGCGAATCGTACCGAACATCTCCGGTCGTCTGCCGACTCGAATGAGACGAGGCGGCCTCTGAACCAATGTGCGGCGGCGAGTGAGTCGACGACGCGGATCCCCGCACAAGTGGACGCGGACCGCGACTCTTTACACCCATCGAATGGTACGTCGGTTCCGTCTTACGCTGAGGTCCCAAATCGGGTCGAGACGGTGGGTTGACGGGTAAAGTCTGATGAGCGACTGGTCGAGGGACATGCGGTGGTTCGAAATCTCTGATCGACGTCGATGGTTCTGCAAGTGGCGATTCTGTATTGGCCGTGATGGGTGCCATTCGTGCTAGATTCGAGCTTCCATGTGAACCCGTTCGCGGCCTGTGCTCCTGCATCGCAGCAGGCATGGTCGGAACTTGGAATGTCTGCGATGGCATCTCCGAGTGTGGTCGAGCAGGGAGAGGATCCGTCCCACGAGGTCGTGGTCGCGCGACACCGTCGAGGGCAGAGGACGATGGGCGAGAGGGCGAAGCGGAAAACGATCTTGGGTTTGCTGGGCGAGGTGTTGCTTTTGACGAAGATGGTGCAAAGACGGGGAACCGTGAGTCTCGCATACCCAAACTATCAAACGTCGGGAATCGCGAGTTGGCACCTCCGAGCGGATCCAAACTCAGGAGATCGTAGGGATCCCTGCTAGGACCAGGAACGGCACCTGGGGAAGAATGATACGTTCTCTCAATGGGTGGGCGGATCGGATGTGCTGGCGTCAATGTCGTATCCATCTCCCTGGGTGGCGAGTGCTGCATTGGTGGCGGATGTGGTACTGGAGCATGGCGAGGAGGCGACTGTTGAACTTCATCATCTGGAGGTGGCGAGTCTGACATGCGTATAACATGCCTCGGTGGAGTCGAAATCGTACTAGAATCATAGACGGAAGTGAGTTTCATGAGGGAGATTGGCAAAGGCACGAGAACGTCGCTTGAATCACTCATACTACCCAGACTTTTCAGACTATCCTGCCTCTCCAGCGAATCGCGAAGTCGTTGGCGCTGTGCCTCGTCACTCTGGCTCGGAGGTGGACCAACAACCGGTGCAGTCCCCAACAAGCTGGCCCGCTTGGTCGCATCCTTGACAACCTCGTTGGAGATGGAAGGTGGAAACTCGGACGAGTTGATCTCTGTCAACGGCGAGAGCGAGGGCTCCATGGCCAGTGTGAACCGTCCTCGAATCGGATGTGCGGGAGGGGAAGGCGCAGAGACGCTAACGGGTACGTTATAGGGATTAAACGAACCAAGCGACCCTGACGCTTGCGAGTCGGCATTCGCATCCGCTGGTGTCATTGGGTACGGACTGGCAGTGACCGTCCCAGAGTCTGCACGAGGCGGGCGGTTGAGGTCGAGAGAGGGAACGGAATGGTGCGTCATGTGCATGGGCGAAGATGAACCTGGTTGTCCACCTGGAGGGAGGAACGATAGTCGCTCCTGGCTCGCACGTCCTCCAAGGGATCCTGCATGACTCTGGCGAAATCCGGCAGCGTTCTTGTCAAACGGTGGGCTACCGTGCAAGGTGCTCCCCTTTTCCGTGCTGCCGTTGTCGCTATGATCCCGTCCGCCATCATTATACGCTCCAAAGTCGTCGACATCCTTTGTGTATCCATAGGCATTGAGATTCGTTGTGCTCCCAAACACGGTCTCGTTTGGCGTCGCTGGCGGTCGTCCAGGTGCAGCAGTCGGGGTAAACGTCCCATCACCTCTATCCACCCAAGTCATGTCACTCCAGACGCTCGTGTCATTATTTCGATTCCTCTTTGCCCACTCGAGCCTCTCCAGCTTCTTTTGCTGATATTCTTCATATTTTTGCTGCCGAATCTCGTCCTCGGTGGGCATATCCGACTGCTCGTGCGCTGGATTGGCTGTACGCTGGTACCCTCCACCAAACCCTAATCGCCTGGCACCAATAAACGTCAAGAACGAGAAACCAGCAAACGGTCCCGTCGATTGTCGTTTGGCCGAGATGACTGTATTCTCCCTCGTAAGGTTCCCATGTCCAAACGCTGACCTCGTCGCAGCTTGACCCTCGATATTCTCAGGAACACCAAACTCGCTCACGGCTTCGTCTCGATCTCGACGCGTGACACGACGTACAATACTCCTTGCGCGCTCAGACATGGGCATACCTTCCTCGGACGGCTCCCCAGCTCTTCGACGCTGCTTGAACCTCCGATCGAGGACAAACCACCGGGCGCCAAAGAGCACGACGCAAACAGCGACAAAGACGCCGAGCCCAAGCATAATCTTTCCGAGCATACCCATGGACCTCCGAGCGGAATCTGGATCTGTGACGAGAGAGTTTCGCGTTCCGTCCGGGGCGAGGTTATGTAGACGAACGTTTTCGAATTCGGTAATGGCGAGGTTAATGTCGGTGAGGGGGATGAGACCGAGACGGGGCATGGATGTGCTGCCGTCTGTGTTGACACCTGTGGGCGGGGTCGCTTGCGAGGTGGTCGCAAGCGAATGAATGGCATAGACGTTGCGGAGAAAGGGGATGCCGAGGACAATGTCGCCGGGTGAATTCATGTTTCCTAGAAGTGCATTTGCTTGGAGAGAACCAAGGCAGGTCGTTGGATTGGAATTGCGGTCATTGTTAATGTACGAAGACATGTCGAGCGGATGGAGTGGAATGGGTACGCCCTCGGTACCCAGCGTAATCGTGAGGTTGAGCGGTTTGTTGCATGGGACATAGTCTATGCACATAATCAGCAATCTGGAAACCGGAATGGGATCTGCTTACACTTTCCGTCTTCGCTGATCGAGACGCCCCAGCTACCATAGATGGCATCGCAAATCCTTTTGGATGCGAGCATGGTCGATCCTCCGGTATCGAGTACGGCTACTGGATAGAGTCCTGAATCTCCGCTCCTCGGAAGGCCAACTTGCTGCACAAGGCCGTCATTGTAGACGGTAATATCGGTCAGACGAGCCTTCCAATGCGCATAACCGCTCCCAGTGGCAGTGAGATCCGTCCATCGGATGGCCTTGTTAAACGCGTCTTCGGATGCAAAATGATGAACAACCTCGTCGACATGAGCGCCAATGCCAAGTCGTGCGGGCCAAGCGTTTTTACTGGCGCTACCTTTTTCGAAATCGAATCTGGAGAGGGAAATGGCGAAAAAGGTTCCCTTGGCGCTTGAGCTGTGGGCAAGCCAAAGAGATTACTGGCCAGTGTCGCACCGTCTTGATTGCCGCCGCCGCTTCCAGCCGGTAAGAGTGTCAAGATTCGTGAGATGGGAGGGAGAGCGAGACCAAGAATACCGCTGAATCCAAGTTCAAAAGCCTCGTTTGTTGCGGCAGTGACAGAAGCAAAGGCCTGGCGCTCGATAGTATAGGAACCCAGGGACACTTGGTCCCAGATAATTGGGCCAGATGCTGTTCCTACTAGATAGTTGTATTCGAAATCTTGGCCCGTGGGGATTGTAGACGAAGACGAGGCAGCGTCGTAGAGCGCGGGGGCTGCCCGACAACCGGAACACGATGTCGCGGCGATCCACTATGATCCAAGATGATGAGTAATGTAAAGTACTTTGATGTTTTCCAACGTACCATGTCGCTAGAGCCCGTATCGACCAGCATTGGAAATGTCCTTGGAGGAGTACCAGCCTGGACATCGACGGTGTAGATTCTAGAGGATAGAGTAGTTCATATTAGCTCCATTGACGCGAATTTGGGACTGGCCGCGACGCACACATCGTAGAATCCATCTGGACCTTTGCGGGTGAGTTCGAGAACAGCACCAGAGGGACCGCTTTGTCTCCTTTCGAGTGGGATGTGACGGTTTGTCATCGAAATAGGCAGAGTTGTAGCGTTTGTAAAGCGAAGGACATTGGGAGTCGTGATGGAATGCGTCGTCGTCGATCGAATATCCACACCCCAGTGATTATTTGCCTTGTTTTTGTAGATTAGCAGAGCGTAGCGGGTGTTGTGGTCAGGTCCAAGTCAAGCTCTGAGACTTGTCTAGAGCAAAAGCAGTGCGACGGCGATTAGCGCTGTTGGCCGAATTTTCCAAGGTCCCTTTGTACACTGGCAGACCTGTGCACATGCAACTTATTACAGAAACATACACAAATCTAAGCCATCTCCGCCGTTGCCAGGCCGTCGCCATCACTTTTGTACCTTTTTCTTTGCAAAAAAAAGCTACGTCTGAAACTGTCTCTAGTATACTCTCTGAAATGTCGGATTATCCAAATGCCTCTGAGTACATCTTGGCCTCGACCATTCTCATCGATTCTTCTACAAACACTCGCTGGCCGTCTGAAAAACACGTAGAATCCATCGTTTTATCGCATTTATCTCATTATTCGGCAATATGACAACCACCGGCAGCTCAGACGACCTCCATCACGGTTCGTCTCATCAGATTCTACGGCTTGACTTGCATTGCTGACTGTACTTTGAGATGTACATCATTCTCATGCCTCCAAACTGTTTCTGGAGACGTCGATGCCATCCTCTGCCTCGCCGTATCCCTCGCCTTCATCCGCATTCTATCCACCGCCGATTCCCGCAAGCCACGAATTCGCCAACAAGCTTGCAAACAACAAGCGCTATCGGGGCGCTGCCGGCAATGTTAATCTCATTACTGGCGGCGTAGGCGGTCTCAGCGGCTCCGCAAATGGCCAGCCGAGTGCCTCTGGGACAGAGGCCTATCTGAGCGCGACGAGTGCAACAAGTGGTCGAAGAGCATCAGATGCATTTCTAGGCCAGTCAACTTCACCAGTGACGGCCCCGGGCTCTGTGAGCGCGCCCAATAGTCGAAGGACATCGAGAGACGCTGCCAAAAACCAAGAGCCCTCGTCGAGCCTCGCAAAACTATCGATAAAACCAACGTCGGAAGAGGTAGAAGAGACTTCGGGTGTGTTTACCATCAATCGCGTTCGTCTAGCTAACCTCTTCATCAGCACCAGAAAATCCACCGATACAAGAGCAGGCTGGCCTCTCTAATCCAGTATCACAAACCCAAAAACACCTAAATGTCGACCCACTGGATGATCTCCTCTCGCCCTCTCCCAAATCCACCGCATCTGACAGCACCCTCACTCCCTCGACAAAGCGATTCTCCCTCACCTCTCTCACGTCATCACGACCCGCACCCCCATCTCCTGGACCCTCTCGAAGACCGAGTCTGCAGCGCAAGAACAGCTCGAAGCGACGAAGCGTGCATTCGAATGGATCGCGAGATACCCCTATCATGCCACTGTCGACTACACCGACGGAAAAGTCTATGCTTGGGAGTGGTGTTACTCCCGGTGATTATGCGTCTCGTCGCCAGAGCTCGCTCAGCATGTCCTTTACGGCCTTTGCGGCTGAAGGAGGGACAGAGGAACAGGAAGAGCCCACGACTCCCGCTCCTCCAACTACTAGTGCCAACTTGGAAGACGATGTCGAGGAGTATGTATCCATCATTATCGTGCGCGACTTTGCTTATGCAGAGGACGACGAGCGATTCTCCAAACGTCCCATTGAGTCACTTCCCATGAGCGAACGACCAGCCGTCGAAGCTGGACAAGCGCACGATCGGGAAGATGGATGGGACGACGACGGGGATGATTGGGATCACCGATGGCACTACGCCGACGACGATGGGTCGGGGAGTATGACTCCCCTACGCGATGGATCGCATGCCTACGATGAGGATTCCCAAGCTCATGGCAAGGAATATGGGTATGCTCAAGAGGAGATTGACCCCGATATGCCTCTTCCACCTGGCATCTATCGCGCCGTGTACGCTTTCGAAGCCGAGGGGACGGCCGAGATGAGTCTCCAAGAAGGAGATCTCGTCAAAGTGATTGGTCGTGGGGGTGGCGTTGGGTGGGCGGTCGTTGAACGAGGGTGGAAGGCGCCTCCCGGTGGTGTGAATGGAACGTTTGGCGCTGGTGACGATGGGAAGAGTGGTGGGTTGGAGGATGGGAGCGGGAGTGGTGCGCTTGCGCTTGCGGGACAAGCGCTCGTTCCCGAGAGCTATCTCGAGCCGTATCAGCTCGAGTAAGGATAGGGCAGTTTTCGTGATTCTCATTGGACCCTTGACTCGATTCCCGCTTTGTAGGATGTTGAGTCTTTGACTAGCTTTATGTTCGGGAAGAAGAGTACAATTGATGGAATTTGCATAATAGAAATAAGTGGTCAACGAGGGCAGAGGTCGCTGTCGTCGGGTAAGATGCTGTATCAAGCTGCCTCTCCATCCCCCCACTGAACAAAATCAATGTCTTTACACCCCGCATCATTGCACAAAAAGTACTTGTTTCCCTCGAACCCCGTTGACAACAGCCACACGATATGATACTTGTCACCCTGGTCGACCTGTGAATACTTGACGCTATAAGTAGTCATGTTAGATTTTAACTTGATCTCAAATTACTTTGATAATGTACATACGTCGCGCCGACGTGAATAGTGCTAGGGAGCCCGTCCCCTGTCTGAGAGCTGCTTCCACTTCTACGATACGCTCTTCAATTGTTTGGATCTGATCTTGGCTGCATTCTAATTGATGGCCAAATCTGCTATAGCTGCATTTCGACGGATAGTCAAAGCGTCTAATATAATTGTATCAATCAAGCAATGGGTTGAAGAACCAGAAATGCATACATGCGTTCGTGTCGGGCAGGTGATTCGTCAATAGGCTGGTATAGATGCCTAGCAACACTAATTCGGGTATTTTAGTTTTCCACACTCATTATGTGTACGCGTACTCACGAGAGAGCAGCCGCAAATGTAGGCAAAGGTGAAGCAACCAAAAGAACCAGGATTCGGAGGACCATTAGTGAGATGAAGATGATGAAGGAAAGGAATAGTATAGGAATAAAGACGATCAAGGTTGATTGCAAGTCAGGATAGTCAAGTAGCGAGTGTAGCAGCGTGGATCTACAAAGACCTCAGAGACAAACAGCGATGGATCCTTAATGTGAAGATGACACTCCCATATGCTCTAATGTCTGTCTTTAAACTTTGACCGTGGGTGTCCATATAATACGACTCCGCTCGCGGTGCCGGAGTCGTAGCGCCATTCTTTACACTGCCTCGCCACATCACGGCGCTTTACATTAAGGAGAATTACAGAAAGAGACGCATGGGAGCTCATTTTCCGAATGAGGATAGGACTAGGGGGATAGTAGCCGGCTAACTGAAGCGAAGAAAGGATAAACCGAAAAGACAATGATCTCACAGTAGATATATATACATTCCTGGACTAAGTGGGCGTTCCCCTGGGATGGAACTATTGCGCCGCTCGTGGACTTTGCCACAGAACTCTTGGGGAATGCTCTTGATTACCCCATTTGGCGTCAGTTCCAGGCACGCTTCATTGTGCTTTTCTTCCTGTCCCCGAAGTTTCCATTTTATATAATACATAGAACTGGTGCTCCCACTGGGTGGTTTGAATCTGAGGTGTGGGGGGTGAGCTCCTGCAATCGCTGCGGCTCGGCTTACAAAATAAATGCGTCGACCATCCAAAGAAAGGGATTCTTCCGATATCGATAGACAATGTAGTGTACCGCGGGCTCCTGCTCTTCCGGTTTGCATGGAACGTGTGGGCCGTGCTGTGGGATGCTCATGCAGTTCAATACGTGGACACGACTGAGTGATATCAGTCGCAGTACTTTTCACTTTAGTCTGTGCACGTACCGCGAGGCTTCTTCCATTCTCGTCTCGGCTCTAAAGCCAGGCTGTGTGAGCTGGCGAGTCGCGGTAAGATTATATACTCACGGTAGTGCATTAACGACAAGAGAGAGGACAGGTAGTATGAACAAAAAGGAGTTTCTAAGTTGAACCATGATAGAGCGTGAATGAAACAGTTGGCGAGAAAGGCTGATTCCAGATCAGGAGAGAAGAAAAATGAAGAAGCTACAGGTGCCTCGTCTGATCTTTATACTAGAGCTGGGCTGACCTGGTGTGGAGGCAAACTCATAGGCCCGCGAGGCTCGGTTACAGTCAGCGGAATGCAAATGTTCGCACATCTGCGCTCATCAGTCACAGCAAAGTCGCCGCGCACAGGTTGGGAATACTATAGCTAACCGTGTACCCTACAACAGCTTTGCACTAAAACGTGGCCAAAGACTGTTTGGAACCTGAACGAGGGAAGATAAGTCCAGGAATGGTGGTAGTGCGTCTGTGTCAATGTGTTATGTATGATCTAACTGTCGTTTATCAGACACATGAACTTTAATCTGTCACGCGGCATAGGAGAATCGAAGCTGGCCTGGTGAAATTACCATCGTTTACAAAACTCGAATCGAAATAATGGATGCTTATATGAATTTGCATCGGTTGCATGCGATCAAAAGCGGATCCACATCTAGCTGTTCATCCAATCCTTTGGTTAGATATTCTTGTAGCGTCCCTCTTCCATATAAAGAAAGTGGTCATCTCCCCCGAGACCGTTGTGCGTCGACTGCCAGACCACGTGATACTTGTCCGCTGTACCTTTGGGTGAATATTCCACGCTAGTTTTAATTTGTTCAGATATTTCTCTCTTTACGATCCGATAGAAGAATCCTACTCACGTGGCACGGATGGTGAACTCTCTCGGCATTGTAATGGGGTTACCCACTGCACGAATTCTTTGTTCCGCCTTCTGGAGAACACGCTCCTGGATTATCTTCATTTGATTTGCACTACACTTTGTCGTGGCACCGGTTTTTTCAGTGTAGACACAATCTGGTGTATACTTAAAGTCGCTATTTTAATGGTTAGGTGATCGCACGCTGACAATTTGATAATACACGCGGCCTGTGTGGTCCGGGGATAGCTGGAGGGATAGCTGGGGCGCTGACTCGTCGGTAAGCTGGGTTAAGAGGCGAAGGAAGAGGAACCCACGGAAGAGCGTTCACCATCATAAGCAGATGGGCAGTAGCGAAAAGAAGTGAGTTCTTGAGAAGCATGGCCGAAGAAGGTGGATAACTGGCTCGAATGTGATGGCAAAGGCTGATTCCAGATCAGGAGAGAAGAAAAATGAAGAAGCTACAGGCGCCTCGTCTGATCTTTATACTAGAACTGGGCTGACCTAGTGTGGAGGCAAACTCAAATCTCCCATGTACTTGGCTACGGTTAGCACGGTGGACTGAAGGCGTACTCACACCAGTAATTCTCTCTGCCCTTGGCATCGCCTTCAAAACAGTTGGCTAGCTGTGAAGGGAGCAGTAAGTCAGCACCTTTACAGATCAACGTGCCATATCGCACAGCGACCGAAAAGCTCTCAACAGGGCATGTATTATAAAGGGGTTTAGGTGTTCATTAATCTAATAATTAATTGTATATATAGTGACCAAAACTACCCAAATGCTTTTCGCGACATGGGGTTATGCGACCGCAAGTCAACGTTGGAAAATTCCTTTTGAGAAATTTTCTTCATTCTCCCATCCGGCAAAAGCTCCAAATACTCGGTCCCAGACTTCTTTGCAGACGTTGAACACTCCCACCTTATCTGATACCTTGTACCGGCCGTACCACTCGGAGCCTTTATACTGACGCCCAAGGTGAGTTTTGACCGCTTCGAAGACTGGGAGACTCAACGTACCGAATATAGGCGTCACCAATCCAGAGAACCGGTTCGTTCATGTGTTGTTCTGCAAGGTATCGCCTGGCGGGCAACGTCTGAGACGCTGTGCAATCAGTGTCTGCTCCATGTTCTGGGATATATTTGCACTCCTTTACGATGACTTGCCTAAGTGGGATCAGATGCAGCACTTTTTGTCTGTATTTTCAGGACGCGTACAGTCCTGGGAGGGGCGTCGGTCTCTGCTCTTTGCTTGTGCTGATTCCGAGGCAGAGCGTCAATCGGTGAGCCGTGATAAGACTCTGTACTTACGGCATCGCCGACGCGACGATAGATAAAGTAGATAATACGAATAGAAATGTATTCCCAAGCTGAACCATTATAGCAGCGGGAGTGAAGAAGGAAATGGCTGATTCCAGATCAGGGACGAAAGAAGTAAAGAAGATGAAGGCGCCGCGTCTAGTCTTTATACTAGATGTAGTCTGGAGGCAAGTTCCCAAGTTACCCACGGGCCTGGTTACAGTCAGCACGTAGATGTACTCGCGTTTGCATAGCCAGTCACTGCCCAGAGTGGATAAGTCAAATATACTCTCGTACGGACACATTGGTTGATGGTTTAAGAAGACCAATAACGAAGAGATCAGCCAAGAGACTAGTCATAATTCGCCGAGGGATGGGCAAAGGTGTCAAAATAGAGGGAGAATGTCCAGAGTGGATGTGAAAGAGACTGCTATAGCTGTAGAGGTCGTAACCCCCGCGTCCTTATAGTCCTTCGAGAGCTAGCGCTGATCGCTCGTTTGAACTACGATATAACTTTAGTATCTCCTACCCGGGTTCACGATTCACGTGGTGCCAGTGACCAACGCAAGCGTAGGAATGCAACCATTCGAGGAGAGTGACATTCATATTACAAAACAGTCACAATCTTGGACAAAGATGAAAATCGGGAGGGGGGGAACATTGTGTCTAAGGGGGTTTACAAGCTGACGCAGGCGCTGGGCTTTGGCTTTGTGAACTTCAAGAGGGCAGTACGCGTCGCATACTGGAACACCTCTCTAACACCTTCACCCGTCCTCGCTGAGCACTCCAAGTACATCCTCGCCCCGACTTTTTGAGCGACAGCCTGTCCTTGTTCGGGGGTGACGGGCCTCTGACCAGCGCGCTGGAGCGTATCAGTGTCTGGCGATCGTTTCTCAAGTCCTTTTTGCAGCCGATGAGCAAATAGGGGACTTTTGGGTGGGAGCAAAAGTGGATGACCTCGGGGACCCACTTTTCTTGGACATTGTCGAGCGAGTCGGGCTGGTCAATGGAGAAACAGATTAGGATGACGTGCGAGTCTGGATATGAGAGTGGACGAAGACGGTCATAGTCTTCCTGTCCGGCGGTATCCCACAGCGCGAGCTCGACGCGTTTGCCATCGACTTCGACGTCGGCAACATAGTTTTCAAACACAGTGGGGATGTAATCCTATAGATGAATGAGTATGCAGTCGTTATAACATTTGGTTGGGGGAATGTTGAGAGCAAAACACGAGCTGACCTCTGGAAACTCGCCCTTGTGAAAGACGATGAGCAAGCATGTCTTGCCTAGTAGAGAATGGAGATATCAGCGGCCATCCAGCATTTACAACCAATGCGCTCCACGTACCACAGGCGCCGTCGCCGACAATGACGAGCTTTCTTCGAACGTCGGTCATGACAATTACAACGGTTGTTTATCGTCAATGGGTTAATTTCACAGAGTCGCCCAAGGCGTGTGATGTGGTCTGGGTCCAAGCGGCAATGGGCGCTCAGCGCCTTTTAGGGCCGACGAGGACGTGGTCCGGGATTTGAGTATCGACAGCAGTGCATAATAAATCCTATGCGCTCCTATGTCTACTAGCAAAAAGTCTACAATCGTACGAGCTTGGCTATGCTTGACGGGTCTACCGACGCGCATAGCTATACCGTAAGTGCTGGAATAACTCGGGATGCAACTGCAACACTCTCTCGGCTTCGTGTCGCTCTTGCAGGGCTGTGTACATTGTCGTCGCAGTCGGGAAGCGGAGATTACTCCCAGACGCACCCAATGGACTCGAAGGCAGGTCCCACCACGACTCCAAGTCCTCTTGCTTGACGGTGATGGATGGCAAGCTCACCAATGGACACGTTATCCCCAGTTCAATCCCTGATGGTGTTTCTCGGGTACGAGGATGATTTGTGTGTGTACGAGTGAACTGTGGATTCGCGGGATTTGGCATGGAGACGATAAAGGTCAAGAGGAGAGGGTGACGGTGCTCGACCTTGTTCTCCTTTTCGCTCTCTGCTGATATCCGCGGTGGGTCGTCTGGCGGCGGTAGTGGTGCATCATTGGTGTGGCTGCGGAATAGAAACGACCGCGACGTCCGTGCGGGTTTCGTCTTTGGCTTTGCGGGGAATTGTGAAGTTGTATGAGGAGTGGTGAGCTGGAGGGATATCGGCTGGAGACTACGTAAGCTTTAGCAGCGCTTGGCGAGAGTAACACACACCTGCATGTCGCCCAGGGTCATTGACTGCTTCTTATCGTCGAGATAAGTGTCCATCTGCTCCTCCCATAGTATTGGTTTCCTCCAAAGGTCTGCTCTCGCTCCAAGCGCAATCGTACGGGGTTCTGTACTGCTTGTTTAGCCCATTCTCCCGGAAAATAATGACAGATTATACCATTAGAGTCTCTTCCTTGTCGAACTCCCTCTTGTGTGACGCGGTAGAAGAGCAGATTGTCGTCCTGGCGTGCCCGTGCGCGGATCATGCGTATGCGTCTGGCAATGAGCACGCGTCGTACGAGAATAGAAATGACAAGAAGGACAAAAAGAATGAGTCCGAGAATTGTAGACACTGTCGAGAGATTGTCTCGTCCGCCCGAAGACTCGACGCTCGAAGTCATTTATAATATCCTCCAAAGACTCGTCTTGCTGTAGTAATAGTCAATCTTCTGCAGTCTGTTTATCGGACAGACGACATGCAGCCGTCGTGGTCGGTGGCTGACAAGCAATGCACTTTGTTTCTCGACTCCGACAGGAGTTTCCGGCCGTCCATCTCGCCAGACAGCTTAAATCTACTTATCCATCTATCTATCGACCATCAGCATTTGCTAGATATCATTGGACTCTGTTGGGATCATGCCGACACGCCTCGTCATCCACTGCTCACACTCTGCGCGGCGACTCGTCGAAATGGACGCGTAAAACCATCCGTTGGTCACTCGTTACATCCGGACTAGTTGGGTTGGCTTTTGCGTGGGATTATTTCTATGGCGCACATACACTCGAGCGCAACACACGGACGCTATGGAATGGATTGATGCTCGTCTTGGATTACAAGTGTGTCTACATCCTGTCCAATAGATTCTTCTCACCCAAGACAGACTCAACTATGACCCAAATAATCTCGACAAAATGAACAACGTCCACGAACGTGCCGCCGCGCGTCTTTTGCACGTCTGCAAGAAGAATGGGTTCGCTTATTTTCGTTTATAATTGTATTCGGTCGCCGACGATCTGCAGTGGCCTCTACGTCAAAGCCGGACAAGCGATCGGAATCCAAGTCGCCATCCTCCCAAAGCCCTACCACGTCCTCGCACAGCTTTTCGACTCTGCGGAACCAATCCCACTCGACGCCGTCCGAAACGTCATCTATTCCGAGCTCGGCATGTGGCCAGAAGAGATTTTTGCCGAATTCGATTCGGTTCCTATTGGATCTGCGGTACGTCTACTCGAGCGACGCTTCTCTCCTTTTACATGTTTATAGAGCATTGCCCAAGTTCATCGGGCTAAATTACATACTGGCGACCTCGTCGCCGTCAAAGTCCAACGGCCCGATATCCGCAAACACGCCAAATGGGACCTCCTCGCCTTTCGAACACTGATGCGCGTCTACGAACGCGTCTTCGACTTGCCACTCTCCTTTGCCTCGCAGTACATTTCGGACCAAATCGAACTCGAAACGCATTTCGATCACGAAAGGGAGAATACGGAGAGAATTCGGCATCATGTGCTGTATGATGTTCCCAAGCGACTACGTGGGGGTGTAGCGTATGTCCCGGCGGTCTATGGCGCGTTTAGTACGCCGAGGTTGCTTGTCTCAGAGTATATCGATGGTGCGGTCCGCATGACGGATGTCAAGGGTCTTGAAGAGCGGTTGGGTTTGGATGTCAACGAGGTGATGAAGAGTGTGTGCGAGGTGTTTGCTGCGCAAGTGTTTAGATGGGGGTTCGTTAATGCAGATCCCCACGTACGTCCTTTTTACTCTATCTGGATAGTCGCTGACGTATGAATAGCCCTCGAATGTTCTCATTCGCCGGCATCCAAAGAGACCTCACACTCACCAAGTCGTGCTGATCGACCATGGGCTCAGTATCCCACTACCACCAAAGTTCCGACGTCAATATCTCAACCTGTGGAAGAGCCTGTTTACAAACGACACTGAGGGACTGAAAGAGGTCTGTAATCAATGGGGGATCGACCTCGGCGACGACGGGTTCGGGATGCAGGCCATGGGGAGTGCCGTCTTGCTCCAGGGTTGGTCCAAGTCGAGTGGCCCGAAACGACGTGGTGCAAAGGGCGTGAAGGGTGCGCAGCCAGTACTATCGAAAGAGGAGAGGCAGAAGAAAGAGTTGGAGATTCAGCGGCAGATGAAGGCGACGGTCAAGCGGTTTTTGCAAAACTACGAGTTGATTCCAAAGGTGAGTGCCGGTCTACTAATAGTTTGTGATGCTTATACTCTTCTAGGAGCTCATCTTCCTTGGGCGCTCGATGAGAATCATCCAAGCGAACAATCAGGTAAGCCTTTTGTATATGATTGTACAGTGCTAACGTAGCTCTCCGATGCTCAGGCCGTCGGAAGTCCAGTCGACCGCATCCGTATCCTCGCCCGTGGCGCCAGCGACAGTCTCTACTCCATTACACTTTTTCCTCCACCCGAACTGCGAGACACTTCACCTCAGCGCAAGTCGTTCCTCGCGACCTATATCGATGCGAACATTGAGTGGTACCGCTTCCGCGCCGCCATCACCGGATTAAACGTCGCATTTGGATCCTGGGGAGTCTTCTGGGGAGTTCTCTGGGTATATAAACTCTGGGTGGACGTCAAGATGGTCCTCGGGCTCAAGACGACCCAAAGTCAGAAGGCTCTGGTAGGAGAGGCAGACGAAGAGGATCCGTTCCAGCAGCATATGATAGACATGGCAAAGGAGATGGGCGTCGAGATTGACGAAAATGTGTTTATGGGATAGACGTAATACTATCGTTGTAATCTACTCGTTTGCTGAAAGGATAAGGCTCCGGAGATAACGGAATAGTAACTGGCAGAGCTTGAACCCGACCGCGTCTTTCCTTTGGCCGTCGCGACTTTATCATTTATCCATCCATCTACGTCTATAAAAAGCCATGTCTGGAATACCAAAAATCGACGTGCCAGAGGACGAACGGCGCGCAATCTTTGCATACCTGAGGCGGCAGGATCCCGCGACAAAGGTACGTGCATTAACTCGTTGATTTCCTGGTCAAAGTGTGCTGATTCGCTCTCCTTTCTGCTTTCTTTTTCTTTCTTTCGCACTTGCAAACGCTCTCCCTGCCCGCCACGTCGTCCGCACCGCCTGCAAACCGACGTGCATATGGCTTTATCTGCACGCGACGACGGCGTTTGCGACGTGAACTGGGTTGAAATGTGAAAACAGAAATGCTTTGATTGTCCGAACAAAGCTCCGACATGGGCTTCGATCCATTTTGGTATCTACGTCTGCATCGATTGCTCTGGTCGTCACCGTTCTCTCGGGACGCATATTACATTTGTACAATCGACGGATATCGACCAGTGGACGGTGGAAAACTTGCGGTACATGAAGCTCGGGGGGAATACGGCCGCTGCGAATGTACTTGGAACGGGCGATGGTGGTGTACGCAAGTATGTGGACCATAGAGGCAATTTACTACCTCTCCCGGCGAATTACAAAGAAAAGCTCAAGGCGTTGGTCGACAAGGACCGTGCATTGTAAGCCGCTTACTCGTCTACAATGGACGAGCTAATCCACGTACAGGTACCCAGATCGTGTATATATTGAAGCTCTAGACGAGGTCAAGCCCGCTGCGAGTGCGGACGCCGCGGAAGAAGACGAGCTTGACTGGCTCGACAGTCAGATTGCAGGCGGTAGTTCAAAACCAAAGGCTGCACCCGCCAGCCAGCCGCTTCGACTCCAGCTGCACTACCAGGTATCGGACGAACAGCTTCGGCCTCGAGCACGGCGAGTCGGACGACCACCTCGAGCGCACTGCTCAACGCCTCTGCTTCATCACCCACTACGACACCCACCGCGAGTCGAACGACGTCGAGCTCAACGTTGGGTTCTGTCAAAAAGTCGTCGACACTCGGTGCGACCAAGACTTCTACGCTTGGCGCGACAAAGACGGGCTCCAAGCTCGGTGCGAAAAAGGGACTCGGAGCGACAAAAGCCGCAGGAGCCGGGGGCGCGAGCTCCTTTGAAGAAGCGGCGAAACGCGCACAGGAAGAGGAGGAAAAGAGGCTCAAAGAGGAAGAGTTGCGAAAAGCCAAAGAGGAGGAAGAACGTCTACGAGCGGAAGAGGAACGAAAAAAGGCGGCAGAGGCGAGAAAGGCGGCTGGTATCGCTACGCCACCTTCTGGCTCGGCTGCAACCACGACCACTGCGAGTGCCAAGTCGAGAGAGCGACAGGCGAGTATCGGTGGTGGGCAGGATATGGAGCGTCTTGGTATGGGTGTTCGTAAGATGGGCTTTGGGAGCGTCGGAGCTGGTGCAGCTGCTGCCGCGTCAACAGCAGCGGCGGCGAAGAAGAAACAGGAAGAGGAGACGCGTGCTGCACGGGATCGATTTGGGAACCAAAAGGGTGAGTTGGCGGCCTTTGTGGGGATAGGTTGCTGACGGTGTTTCGCTGGTAGCCATCTCATCGGATATGTACTTTGAGCGCAACGACTATGACCCGGACACGGTCGCCGCGGCGCAGAATCGACTTCAAGAATTCAAAGGCGCGACTTCCATCTCTTCTAACCAGTACTTTGGTCGTGATGAGAATGAAGAGGGGCAAGGGACGAGCTATAGCGGGTGAGCTATCTTTCTTCTTCCCGGCTCTCCTTTGCTAACGGCCAAAATACAGGTCGGGAGGTGGATACATTGCGAGTGATAATCTTAGCGGGATCGAGAATGCCGCTAGAGATGCAATCCAGCGAGTGATGAACAATCAGGATGTCCAGCAACTCGGTGAGGCGTTACGAACAGGGGGTCTCAAGGTATGTGTTTCTCCGTAGACGATATTCAGCGCTGAAAACTTCCTAGTTGTCGGAGTACCTTGCAAAGATGGGTTCGGATCGGTAAACGACGTCTTTTGGCCTTTCAGATGCATCTCTTCTGTACTGCCTGGCATGCAATACATCACGTTTTCACTATGCTTTGGATGGATCGTTGTCTCGAAGGAACGTTCTGGATCCCTAGCCGCGTTTTCTC